TTAGTGCAGCCTCGTCCTTGCTGTGCTGTTTTACATCCTCGTGTTTCAGCTTCTGTTGGACTGGGATCTGCCTTTGTCCATTGTTGGGTATAAGGTTTTCCACTTAACCTCATTCCCGTGTTTAAACTGATAGCTCCACGCTGCCCCTGGACATGCTGAGATTTCTCTCGCTAATAGGAAGAAGCTGGTTCTGAACATTCTCCTCAAGAATGGTACAAAACTGTGATGTGATGGAAGAGTGAGGGCTTTATAACCTTCTTCAGGTAAAAAGAAAAAAAAAAAAGTAGCTTGCATTTATTCCTGGATACCGAGCCAAGTATCTCTGTCCCAACATTTTCTAAGAGGGGTTATGAAACGCTGAAGAATTGCTCTAATTAGATGCACCCACAAAGTCTTCCTGAGGTATTGAAGCGGGTTTTTTTGGAAGCTGCTTAATTTTTGTTGTTTGTTTTTCGTTGCTTTGATTGCAGCTGAGCTGTCTTAGTAGGAACAACAGAACCATCCCAGTCCAAACCAATCTTTGCAAAAGAGCGCACCCTGTGAGTCATTGCATTTATTTATCTCCTTGTTTACTACAGTAAATCCTTCACTTCCTTAGCACGGCCAACCTCCCTGTTTGATGGTGGTTGTGCTGAAATTGCAGTAACCATGAAGGATCTGCATTTTGTTTTCCCCCAGCATTTGTGCATTCTCCTTGGATTTCCTCCCCATTTTGTGCTTTATCCATACAGCAGCCTTGAAGCCTTCCCCTGCTGAGCATAAAGTGCATTAAGCAGTGTGTGCAAACGAGCAACGACACAACTGCTAATTGTGCTAACAGATGGAAATAGCAAAAAAGTTCCTCTTTTAATTCTAATGGTATTTATAGAAACCATTACCCACCTTTCATAACGCTTTGATTACGGATGGAGCCTCTTTCTGCCCCCCTGAAGTTGGTGAAGCTTTTGCAGATGGTTTGACTGGCTGAGGTGATGGCAGAAATGCAAAGGAAATGCAGATGTTGGAAACCTTTTGATTTATGTGTGTTAGGCAGGTAGGTGGCTTAGAAGGAAAGCTGCTGTTTCACGTTCTGCAGACAAACGTGTGGCTTTGGGAGAAGTCTGTGCTGAGCTCCCCTTCCCTGTGCCTCACTGTGTGACCAGGCCATGACTTGTGGAGGGGATGACTTGCAAAAACTCTCTTGCCAGACCCAGACAACTCCGATTTCCTCCGCTGTGGTCATTTAGCCATTAAGATCTCAGATCCTGAAGACATATCCTCTCTTGGGAGTGAGTGGCATCCTCACAGGTGGAAGTGTGCATCTGTGTAATTGGGATGATTGAGGTGATTGTTTTTCAGGGCTGTTTCCTGCAGGCAGCTCCAACAGCTGTATCAGCAAGGCTTCCAGGAGCAGAGCAGCTCTGTGCTCGCCGGTGGAAGCATAAGTTTGCCCAGGGCCACGTGGAAATGACTCAAAGCAGACCCAGGTGGTTGTTCTTGTCTTCAGCAACCTGGCTAAAGCGTAAGCATTACGAAGCAGATCAGAGTCAGAGCAAAGCCTGAGTCGCTTGGCTCTGCAGCTGTAGGACCAGAGGACTCCCAGGAGCAGAGTGAGGGCTCCTCTTTGGAAGGTGAGGGTGGTGGTGAGGCTGTGCTTGGGCTTGGACCTTCCTCTGCAGGACTCAGCTGTAGGCCCTGACCACCTCAGCAGCTTTCACCTCCTAATCCATGGCCTTTTTGAGTACTGAGCACCTCAAAGTGCTTCACTCTGCACAGTGCACATTGGCCTCCTCCCTGAGCAGCAGTCCAGCAGGTACATCAGTGCCACCACTCGCATCAATTCTGTCACCTGGCTGTGAGTGCAGCAGCCTGGGTGGAAAAAAATGTCCAAAAACTGATGCTGTGGGGACTGCACCTACTTGGTGTGAGTGTGGCGGGGACACCTGTGCTGTTTTTCACCCTCCCTTCTCTCCAAGTCCACCTTCATGCAACTGAAATGTAATCACAGGGCTCAGAAGATTTGTGAAATGATGTAGAAGCTGAGCTGTAAATAAAACAGTGCCAAGAAAATCACAGCGAGGTAGGAATATGGATTGGAACAAGGCCTGGGACTGGAGATCTTTGTGTTTCATTCAGCTCCTTTCTAAAAGAGAGTGGGAGTGCAGGGGCTGATGGGTGTGAAGACTCATTTTTTCCTACAAGATGGAAAAGAAAGGTTGCTCTACATGTGTTCTGTGGGGTTCATAGGCAAACCTACCCAGTTCTTGTGTCCTCCTCCCAAAGCACTGAGTGGGGCTGAGCAACGTGAGCAGATTGTGGCTTGGTGACTGCTAGAGCCCAGTATTCCACTAGCATGCCTTTCAGTGAAGCCAGAAAGAGGGTCCTAACAGAAATCATTTGGGATTTAACCCTGCTCATAAACTTTGGACTAAAATAACTTTGTGTTAAAATAGTGAAGGTTTTAATTACTATTTTGTGTTATTACGTGGGTCCATATTCTTAAAAAAAAAAAAAAAACATCTCTGAGACCACAACTTTTTCAGAAAGCTCCAAGCTTGTGTTCAAACAGAAGTTCAATGAGTGCTGAACTTCGGTCTGTGCTGTAACCCAGTTTTCAGCACAATGATATTGTGAAATATGTTGTGGCTCATATATCACACTCTTCATCTGTTGATTAATTCTGCATTTCCCTTCAGCTGATTGATGCCCCAGTATGATTCTCAGCAGATGAAGCAGGGATTTGGCCAGCATTACTCATGCAGTACATACTTCCCCATGGACCCGTTGTGCTCACGTACCGCTCTGACCTCCCTGCAGCTCGGGGCAAAACTGCTTTAGGTCTGCTCCAAAATGGCTTTTTGCTCATGCATGGGTCTGAAGCAGACACTGCCACGTCGTGGGTATCCACCAGCTCTTGCTCATCTCTTGCTGTCTTCTGCTGCCCTTCCAGCCCAAGCAAGACAGGGCTGCAGGTGCTGCTCGCAAGTGCAAAGCCCAGCCTTGCTTCTCCCCACCACCCCCACCCCACTGGGAAACCCATGGGCAGCACTGGCAGCCTCTTGTTCCATCTGTCAGCTATCTCGAAGCTCGTGAAGGAAACGCTGTGCCGTGAAGTTGATGAAAGGCAAATTAAAATTAGATTTCCCCTTTGAAAAGCTTTAAAAAGTATTTCCAGCACTCCCTGATGGCCTTTCAAAGCTTAATGGCTGGCTGGGGTTGCTTCTGATGGAGTGTCGTGCGCTGCAGCATCCGTGCTGCTGTAGTCAAATGTCACAGCAACCATCAGCCCTCTCCCCTTACAGTGGCCTAACAGTTCCACTGAAGGGCACGCAGCTGTCCCAGGAGGGACAAGGCAGGAGCCCAGCAGATGGGTCCCTGGCAGCAGCAGTCACCCACTCTTCTCCCTCTCAGCATCCAGATCATGGGATGCAGGACTTAGGATCAGCCTTTGTAGGGTAAAACGGGGCAGAGAGCAGCAGGGCTCTCGCCTGACATGGTGATGGGTGCTTGCATGCACTGCCTGCACCAGCCCCACTCCTGCAGGATCCTGTGCTCCTCTTTGTCATGCAGAATGCAGACTGCTCTGACTAATTCCTTGCTTCTGATTATTCAGTGCTGCACACGAACAGATGTGCACGTAGGAAAGTGCACACTGTTAATCAGGGACTGTTGAGCCATATGGCATGTGAAGATGGAATATTACAGCTCCGTAATGAGAACCTCCTTCACACACAGCAAGGACAGCCGTAACGCATTCTCACCAGTGCTGTCAGTTCCTTCATCTGCTGATAACATGTAAGTGAGGGCGTGGAGTCCTGGAGCACCCCTTGGCCCAGGTCCAGCTCCTGTGAGTTGAGTTCAGAGGCCCCGTCTGTCCATTTAAAAACATGGGACTCAGTCCTGAGCCACCTGTAGGTACTGTAGTTACAGTAAAGACGCAGCTGGCTCTGTTGCATGTTCAGTGGTATTTCTTGGCCATGTTCCCAGCTTGTTTTAGGGCAGCAGGCATCACGGAGCCCTCTGTTAACCCATTCAGCTCCCAGCAAACTGGGGCTATAAACAAGAGTGTCAGCAACCCTAGATGGTTGCAAAACCAGAAAAAAAAAATGTGTTAGAAAGAGCCTTAATTTGTATTACTGTCCTGAAAGATGGGTGGTGTTGCCTTCTTGCACTGATGTGTGGAATCAGACCTGATGGTCCTTACGGGACCCTTCCAACTCAGGTTATTCTGTTATCAAGCTCCATTCCTCACTAATACAGTGAGCCCAAGTCTTAGTGTATCAGGTGCAGTGCTGTGACTGACGTGCTCTGATGCTGTCATTGCCCAAGGAGAGTCTGAGTGCTCGTTTTGCTGCTGTGAGGGATCAGCCTGTAATGCCCAGGGTGCCCACCGTGACAGCAAATGAGATTTCCAGCATGGTTTGCCATTGTGAGTAATCGTTCCAGTTTGCAGCAAAGCAAAGCAGCCCACAGCTTATCAGAGCTGAACACAAGTTCAAGGTGTCACTTATTTTTGGTGGTGTGATATTTCTGCAGACTCGAGGTACCTGGAGACAGCCTGTGGCTCAGGAGCATGTTGTTTGGAAGCAGCTCCTTCACAAACACCCCAATGTGATGCACAGCTTTCCTATCTGCCGACAGAGGATTGGAGCTGGTGTTACATCCCTTCCTTTGCACACTTTGTGTGCGTGGGGTGTCTGTGCCTGCTGAGAAGAGCCATCAGTGGTGGGTGTTCATTTCGGGTGGTAATTCTGCCTCTGCTTCTCCCCAGGAGGACTTCAGGAATAAAGTTGAAGATTACATTAAACGCTATGCGAGATGATGAAGGGCGACGGCCGGCAGGACCACGGCTTCCATGCTGCAGAGCTGTCTTTAACTTCAACAACACCAACCAGAAGAAAACCAGCCCGGACTGTACCAGTCCCGTGTCCATGTTGTACCGAAGAAGAAACCTAACTTCATAACTTGTCCATGTTAAAAGGAGAGTTCAGCATAAATACAGCAAGAAATTGTGTTCGTTGGTTGAAAAAAAAAAAAAAAAAAAAGAAAAAAAAAAAGTTGTTTGCTTACTTTTAAAATGTTTACTCTTCTGAACTGTACTGTATATCCTGTTGATGAGATATGCTTGAGAAGTTAAAAGAAATCACTATTGGAATTGTAATGACACTTTTTTTTTTTTTTTTTTTTTTTTAAAACCTTATGCCTCGTTTGGGGAAAAAAAAAAGACAAAAGCAAGCAGGTGGTGTGGGTTTGGAACACTTCAAGTTGGCAATAAAATGGTCTCCTGTGAACCAAATCACAATCCTGTTGCTTTTGATGAGCAGGAACCGTAGGAGCTTTGTCCAGGAGCTGCTGGAGTGAGGCAGAGCGCTCTGCACAACACGTCCTGAGCTGCAGCACTGAAATTCCCATGGTGTTTGATGTAAGTCCTTTTTTGTCACAAGTCTGGAATTTTTTACAGTGCTGTTTTCAGCTCCTGTTTGGGCCACGGTGGTTTTTTTTTTGTGTGCGTGTGAAGTAGTTAAAAGAAATATAAGGCTAATCTGGAACTTAAGTGATTGTGTAGTATTAGTAAAATCCTATATATATTATATATATATATATTTCTGTGAAAAAGTAATGAAAAGGAGATTTTTTTGGTTTAAGAAATCTGCCTTTGCCTTCAGCTGGGGGTGCAGTCGGGGGGGATCAGTTACCACGACCCTCAGCAATCACTCAGCTCCATGCTGTGTGTGGGCACTTTTCTGATCCTCTGCTGATGCCCTCAGCTCCCACTGCTCACCCTGACCTCGGGGGGATTGCACAGCAGCTTTTATACATACATAAACCCAGGAATAAATGTTGGCGTGGTTTCATACGGAGCACTTGTTGTGTTGTGCAGTGGCCAGGTCTCTCAGTCCCCTCCTCCTCTGTGTGCACAGGGCAGCTGCAGCGGGTTGCAGCAGCCTTGCTGGCTACATTTCCCTCTTGCAGGTGTTACTGGAGGCCCAGAAAAGTGAGGAGATGAGATGTGTGGATGGCACCTGGCAGGAGAGCCTTGTCTTTAGATAATGCAGCCTTTGTGATAATGCATTTGGAATGAAATGTGGAGCAGCACGTTCCTTGAAGCAGGAGGTGACTGTGGCAGATCTTTACTGCCAAAGAGGTGATGTCAGGGAGGGTAGGGAGGAAAGCACACACAAGCAGGGTGGAAATATTTAGTTTTCACTAGTGCCAGGGATGAACCTGAACCCCTCCGTGAGGTGGCAGGGGGCAGCAGGCCTGCAGGGGTGCTTTGGGGCTGCTCTTGACCCACACTTGGCAAGTGCCCCATTCCAGCAGCCTCCCCACTGAAATCCTCATTCAATGGGCTGAGTGTAATCCCCTAGCTCTGTTTCCCCCCTCAGCTTCCACATCTCACCTGAAGATTCCCCCCCTACACACCATGCCTCCCTCCTTTGGGCTTGGTTTGGAGGTGAAGTCCTACCCTGAGCCCCCAAAGGAGACCCACAGGGACACCCAGCGGGGCAGCAGGGTGGGGGTTTGGGGACCCTCAACCCACCTGGAGCCCAACTTCATGGAGGGGAGATGCACCAAAGACTGCCATGTGCTTTACTTCTGCATGTATTTATTTAATTAGGAAAAGCACCTAATTCCCACTGTTCACTGACCCTGGGGTACTTCCAAGGCCATCAGTGCCACTACTGGAATCACCTGCCAGTATGAAGCAGTGACCATCACCCATCTCTCCACCTGTAATCGGAGCCTGTGTGCAGGTGGGCAGGGGGAGAAGGTGCTTTTCCTGCTGATACAAAGGGTAAAACAACAAAAAAAAAAAGGATAAAAAGTGAAGGTTTTATCACCCAGTCTGTGCCCTGACCCATTGTCCTTGTGGTTACGGCACGTCCCAGTGCTGTGCTGGCACCACAGGCAGGATACAGATCCCTGCCTTGGTTTTTTTTCCCCCGATTTTTCCATTTTTTCCTTTTTTCCCCCCAGTGGATGCTGTAGGCTGCTGGGAGGGAAGCAGGGAAGGTCTGAGCAGAGCTGCAGCACACTCCCATTACCCAGCGAGCAGCATCCTCACTGCCACCAGCATCCCCAGGTTGTTAACGATGGATTTAATTGGAAGCCACCGCCTGGGAAGGGGCCAGCAGGGGATGATGCAGCGGCACCGATGGGGCTCGGCACCCCAGGATGCTCCTTGGCCAGGCTCTCCCCTAAAAACCATCCCTAAACGATGCCCTCGCTGCGTTTGCTTCGCCACACCACCAGCGCGGTCATCAGCAGGGTGACGAGGATGGGCACCAGGATGAAGGGGCAGAGGATGCCGTTGGGGGGATCACGCAGCGCCCGGCCGGATGGGGAGCAGTTCCTGAAGTAGTGGCTGTGGACGGCGACGAAGAACTCATCCACCAAGCGGTTGGGCCAGTAGCAAGTGAGGTTCTCAGCCACCGCAACCGTGCAGTTCGTCAGCTCCCCGTAGGTGCTGCAAGACAAACAGGGCAACAGGGTGGCAACAGTGGGGGCACTTGGGTCCTCACCAGCTTCCCATCGCCAGGTGCTTCCCACAGACCCCACTAAAATGGATCCACCCAGCCCTGGATACCAACAGAAAGGTTTGTGATGTTGAGAGTGTCACTGTGAGTGTAATGAAGGTAAAATATAACAAGCAAGATAGGATATGATATTTCATAATAGAAATACAGTTGTGTGTTTGTCAGAAAACACTTTCTATCAGAGAGATCGTACTTTCTGTTGTAGAAGTGTCTGTATGTGCACACAGATACTTGAGACTGGGTAGCCAGGGTCAGAAATGGAAGGTTTCTCCTTCTAGTGAGCCCACTTTTTAAAGGAAGGGGGAGGAAAATAAAAGAAGGCAAAAAACTCACTTGTACTTTCTGAAGGAAAGGGAAAGAAAACAATGTTTTCTCCTGCAAGGTTGCTGTTCAAGACAGCACATCCCACAGACACTTGGGAAGCTGGCGAGAAATAGAAATGCCTGGGGTGTATTCTTAGCAGGGTGACAGCCTGGCGGCCCCTCAGCAGCCAGAGCTGAGTGACGGCTGCAGCTGCGCTGCCATGCTGGCAGTGGGGTGGTTCATCCTCCTCCGTTCCCACCACGCAGTGTGCATGTAATTTTTTATTCAAATCTGCCTTCCCAAAGTAGGTGGCAGCTCACACAGCTTCCCCAGCTCCATTTCTTCATGGAGAGGGTGCTCAGGCTGTGGGGCTGTGCAGGGCAGTACTGGATTGAGACATGTGGATGTGGCACGGATGGACGTGGCTTGGTGGATGGTTGGACCCTCTGTTCCAGAAGGCTTGCAAGCATCAAAACTCCTTGGCTTGGGGGGACGTATGGAGAACAAACAATGAGGCTCTATGCCTAGAACGTCATCTCCTAAATGACCCGAGGCTCATGTTCCCACGGAGCAAATGAACTCGTGCAATTAAATTAAACACTGTTGAGTTTATCAACATTTCCTCCAAGTGCCTCAAGGATAACAAGTTTAGTAGAAGCTATTTAGAAGAAAATCAGGATGTCAGAGAGAAAGAAGCAGCTCCCTAATACAACTCTGCTTCCTGTGCTGTGGCCTCACCAAAGATCTGAAGATGGATTGCACCTCATCCAGCTCACAGGTGGCACCGAACCAGGGGGTGCACTTCCTGAGGTGCCCCTTCCTCAGTGGCAGCAGCCTCAGCCATCATGAAAACAAGAGATTTCCAATGCATACAGTGCTACAGAAAAGAATGGAATAAGGCCTAATGCTGGTCTTGCAAACCCATTGCCTCTTTCAGGAAGGAGAGTCAGATTTTGGGGCAGATGAGGTTACCCAGAAGCAGAACATCTCCCACGCAGTCTTCCCCCTCTTTCTCTCATCCATTTTATCGTTGATAATGAGGAAGGAAAACCCAAGCTGTCATTTCTGTAGGCTACATATGTGTTTACATACGCATACATGCACAGAGAGGAAGATATCAATTTGGCACAGAAGAGGAGGAACGTGCAGGAAATTAACCAGAAAACTGTACGTTTGTGCAACACACTCATGGCACATGGCAGCATCTGCTCTCCCTTTTCAGCTGCTCTCCATTTCCAGCTGCCCTCAACCCCCAGCTGTGTTGCAGGAGCTTGCTTTTGTACACTCTTCTGTCTTTCAAGAGAAAGACCATGGCACAATGTTGGATGAGAGTACAACATGCAATGTGAGCTCTGGTGAGAGCAGCCCAGGACCCCGCTTCTCATCTGCCACAGATCGCTGCTAATTCCCTGACACTGATTACGAGCAGGAGGCTCAGCAGAAGGCTGCCATGCCCTACAAATAGCATGCCAACCTCTCCTTCAAGATGCCAGGAAAAATCAACATGCGACTTCTGGATGCGAAGGGCAAACCTGCAGGACAGCCTGAGCCTTTAAATACAGAGGGTGTCTCAAACTAAGGGAGCGTGGGATCTCTGGGTCTCTCTGGCCCAGCCCCTGCTCCAGCACAGATACCCAGAGCAGGGTGCCCAGCACCACATCAAGGTGGGTCTGGAAGGTGGGTCCAAGGAGGAGACCCCATAGCCTGTCTGGGTACCTGTGCCAGGGCTCTGTCACGGCACAGCACAACAAAAAAGCAGAGTGAAGTGGCACATTTGGTCCGTTGTGGAAGAAAACCCATTGCTGAACTCAATCCATCCCTAAATCTAATATGGGTGCAGGAGGTCCCTGATGTGGTACCACCCACGCTGCCCCCTAGGCTCGCCAGCCCTGACCCTGCTCTCTTTTAGGCTCATGAGGTGTTCTGGAGAGGAAGACCCACACTTACCCCATGGTTTCATCCCAGTCGCACCACAGCTGCTGCCCGATGCCCTCCATGCTGAGCTTGAAGGGTCGGAGGCAGCGCTCGCGGATCTGCCTGCCGTACTCTGCCTCATGGCACGCCGTCGCCGCGATGAAGTGATGGGCTGAAAGACAGGCCAAGGGGTCAGGCTGTGGGTCACCACCTCCCCGTACTTACCATGGGACCAATGGCACCCAGATCTGAGCCCTGCCCTGAGCCGGTGCTTGGAGCTAAGCCCATCTGCCAGAGCACCGCAAGAAGTAAAGGCATGCCGTGCTTTTTGTTATTTTCCCCTCTCCTCAGTCATCATCAGTTCCCTTCCCCATCATCTTCAGCTACTTGTCAAAGTGCCTGATGCCTGAATCAATTATTCACAGCATGTCCTCCCAGGTAAGGCATGAATAAGAAAGGACACAGCCTTATCCTCTGCTGATCACACGGACTTCAAATTCACAGCGTTCTTGCTAAGAACCAGCAGCACAGATGGATCCTGTGTGAAGAACTCCTTACAAATCACCTGCAAGGCGCTGTGCTTCCAAACAAATACCCATCTCTGCATGCATCGTGTGCACCAGCACCAAAATTTGTGTCACCGCTGGTCTGAGCTCTGCCACAGGGGGGGTTGGGATCAAAGGAGAAAGATGCTTCTTGTGGGCTCCACCAGTGGAATCTGGGGCATGAAGACTGCATTGGAGAAAGGGCTGCAGGGAGTGACTGCGAGCAGCGCGACTGGGCTCCCAGACGAGCTGTGTTACTGGATGAATTTGTGCAATTTTTTCTATGGAAAGCAGCAATAATGTTACAGAGGGATCAGGCTGAAAGAAAAACCTTAGTAGGAATGATTTACTGCAGCTGGCTATAAATAATACCTTGCTCTTGGTCCCAAAGTGCCTGCCGGTGCCTTTGCAGCTACTGGAGCACATTGCAGGCAAGCATCGCATTCCAACTCTATTTTTTGCTACATGTGAATAGCTCAGTGCAAAAGCTGGAGGGGAGGGGGTATTTTTTATTTCATTTCTGAACAAAAGAAATAATTAGCGCATGGTTTAGCTGCAGAAATGTTGGCCTTGGGAGCAATGGGCTGTGATGGCCAAGTTGTCCATGGGAGCAATGCTGAGCACGGGGTGCAAAGGGAGAAAGCAGGGCTTGGAGAACGGGCTGAAAAGCAGGCAGGAGAGGTGCCAAGGGGAACTGGGAGCAAAGCAGGAAGCGGAGCCATGCAGAAGCAAGCAAGGCACGCAAAAGAGAGAGAGGAACTGGGGAAGAGAGAGCCGCTCTGAGAAATTCAAGAGCGATACAACATGAGGAGAAGCAGAATTTAAGAGATCTCAGCCTGGCTGCCCAAAGCCAATTAGCACAGATGAGACTGAAGACAGGTTATCCACTTGTACCAGCACAACAACTATTATTAGCGAAGCCCCAGCATTTCCTGACATCTGTTCCTGAATAACAGACACCGTGGCCACTTCCTAGAGGAAAACGCCCTAATTGGCAGCTCCACCTTGGGTGGAAAGATGAGAAGCAACCACAAGCCATACCTGAGCGGCTGCAAGCTACAGCTATCTCGTATTCAGCACAAAAATGAACTCCAGAATGAGAAAAGTTAAAGGCACAAAGAAATCAAACCAAGTGAAAACACGAGCCCAGGGAGTTTTAAGTACTTGCCAATCAAAGCAACTCAAAGGCATGGATGTGCTGAGCATGGCTGTGAGCAGCTGGGGAAGAAGTGGCGAGGCGTACGAGGAGCAGTTCAGGTCCCTCAGTTTGCTCTGCTATTAAGGAAATGCCATTAAATGAATACCCCTGTGACACCCCTGGATGGTGCTGGATGAAACACATGGAGCACGTTGCCCATGGATGCGTTAGCAATCATCCCAGCTCCGGCTGGACTGGCAGGTGTTTCTGGTGCAGAGCACTCAGGGCTGCAACAGCTGGGAGCAGAAAACAGCTGGATATTCAGCTAAAAGCTCAGAGGTCTAATTAAACCCCCAAAGGCTGCAGACCACTGCTAAGTGACAATCACAGCAGGGCTAGCAGTGAACAAGCACACATATCTACAAGCCAGCAAAGCTCTGGGCTTCAAGAATTAAAATCCCACTATTTTCTCCTGAACGCTACAAAACCATACATGAAATCATTTGCTTTCTGAACAAGCCCAAGCTGAAAGCACTCTGTTTTCCCCTTCTTGTCTGCAGGTTTGCTCTGTTGCATTGAGAATGAGCTTTGTGGCTCAAACTTAGCAGCACCAGTGAGTGCTCCCAGCACTGCAGCTAAGCCCACAGCTTCCAGCTGTCCCCACTTGCAAGCAGCTGGGCTGTGGTCTGCCTGGCGTGCCCAAACCACCCACGGCACAAACTTGTGGTGGCACCAAAACTTAGTGCAGAGATATTGCTGAGGGCTTTCTTTTCCTTTGTGGTATCAATAAGGCCCTGCAGACAGCCTTCGTCCTCAAAAGAAACCCTGGGCTGAAGCTCTGTCCCACTCAGGCACCTCTCCACAGTCAGTATCTCACAGAGCATCTCTTACAGTGGTTTTCTGTACCTGCAGCCAACTTCTCCCCACGCAAGGGATGATTCAGGTTTGCACAGAGCAGCTGAGATAGGATTTAATCCAATCCAGAGTATTGGATTAAAATTAAAACAGGACTGACTTTTTGCCTGATAGCAGCACTCCTAGATGCTGTTAGCTAATAAATAAATGGCAACAGGCATCCCTGGGCTGCTCCAGTTCCTCCCCTGACCTCAGTTCCCCACGTGGAGCAGCAGGAGAGACACGATGTTCTTGTCAGGTGCTTGTGGCTGTCAAGCACATTTCCTGGAAGTGGACTTCTCTTGGACGTCCCTGGACTTGACTCCATGCAGGACAGAGCAGCAAATGCTCTTTTTCAAAAACAAAACAAAACAAAACTGATTTTAGCACATAGATAAAATAAAGACCAGATGAAGAGGGGAGGGACAGGACTATGAATCAGAAGCCAGGCACGCTGCACACCAACTCCTGGCTGACTACACACCAAAACCTGGCATGAGCAGTTAAGCTATAATTACATCCTTAATGAATAGCGTGGGCTTTTTAAAAATTATCTGCCCTGGTTAAATTATTGGAGAGAAGCACGGGTTTTCATTACTCCCAAAGACCATGGGGTTGCAAGGAGGAGGACAGAGGAACCTGCATGCTCACCCTGCTGGGCTTTGGGGTTATTTCTACAATGGAAGCAGAGAAAAGGATGCCAAAAACACAGGAGTCACTGAGGTGCAGCATGGTGATGCCATGTGGATCCAGCAGAAGGATGCTGAGGCAACCTGTGCCTGTGTGTGTGTGTCAGGAGGAGGGTCAGCACCACAGGGAGAGATGCTGGAGGTCGGTTTGGGGACAGCAGTGCTCTGATCACGTTGCTTGGCTTCCCAAAGCATTTGTCTGCGTTAAGCTGGGTGCGTTCTGCTGTGCACAACTAGAGGCTGCTTTATTGAACTACCTTTGAGATCTAAAAAAATGGCTCCCGGACACGCGTTACTCACTCAGCTGAGCACACAGCCTACAAAGAACAAAATAAATAAATATAAAAATCCATCAGAGCAAAGCAAAATAAACAGCTCCAGTGTCTTGCTGATGCATTCATCCCGGGCTGCAAAGAATTACGGCTCGCCTAAATACTTTCAACATGCATTTTCCCAGCTAGAGAACAATTTATTTCACTTTTTAAGACAGGTTTCTTGATGCAGGCTATTTTTCCCTTCTAGTTGAATAACACACTTCTCTCCTGCTCACCCACACAAAGCACAGACAGCTTCCCACCAAGCCTTACCTAAAAAGATGTGGCAATGCTGACACTGATGGCACGGTGACCCAGCAGAGCACGAAGCAGGTTTGAGCCCAGGCTCACTACTGCCTTCTTGCATATGGAGGCTAACTTCTCTCCTCATGAATAGGAAGCTTCAAGTCCCCCCTGTTCCAGGACCTAATGCAGTCAAATGTTGCAGTAACCCTGCAAATCTGCTTGGGTTTAACAGAAATAATGTGGTTTTCTGACAGCCTTGAGCTGGGAGCCCTCGATCCCACTTCATCCGTCAGCACCAGCAATAACCAAGCTCCACGTGCAACCCGGCCCACAGGGAACTCCACAAATGTGGAAATCAGGCAGCAGAACCCTCAGCGGGTCTGCTTCTACCAACAACAAGCAGCCCCAAACTGACACAGTTGTTTCACCTCTAATGGCAGCAGGTACCTTGGGATACAGCTGGCACTCCAGTGTGGCAAGCAGGGCTGGGGTTATTTTGGTCGATCCCCCGGCTGCAGCCAGCTGCTTGGAGCACCAATAAAGCATTTTTTTTGCTAAGAGGAAAGCTCAGCAGGTGAGGCTGGCAGAAAGATGGTGAAGAGGAAGGGAAGGTGCTCCCAACCAGCAGGAATGGCTGGGCTGATTTGACAAAGAAGTGACCAACTCAACAGAGATGCAACAAAGCGGTCTCAGCCTTAAGCCGGCTCTCCCAGTTTTATTTTGGATGCCATCCAGGCATATGAAGCAGTCTGTATTCCTTCAGTAACACCAAAACAGAACCAGCTGGCCTCCCTGAGCACTTCTCCATTGCACTGCACCATGAGACCACAGCTCAGCATGAGGAGCTGCACTGGCACGGCAGCCGGGGCTCAGCAAAGCTGAGCTCTCTGTGTTTGCCTCAGCACTCATACAGCAAGCTGCCAGCACTTCTATTAGCACAGCTTGTTTCACCTTTTCTTTCTAAAAAAGAAAACCCACAGCTGCTTCACCAGAAGCATCAGCAACCTCAACATTCACCACTCTAGTGGTCACCCCCAGCGTAGCCACATCTGCTGGTTGGGAGCACATCAGTGTGGCCACAGAGCAGCAAGGAACAAAAGGAACAAACAGGCTTTTTTTCTTTAAATTTTTTTTTTTCTTTCTTTCCCAACTATAGCAGAACAAAAAAAAACCTGCAAAAGGACACAGTGAAAGAAATGCATCCCCAATTCAGTGCCAGGATTAGCTGCCATCTATCACAGCTAAGTGGCTTACACAGAGACAGACGTCCTGCTGTGAGCACTGGAAGTGGAAAAGAGCAGCCTGGAGTACCACCAGCTCCCACTCTCTTACTTCCAAAGTCCCTGAAAACCAACCCACGTGGTGGAAGGTGCAGCAAAAGAATGAGCAAAGGTCCTGCAGCTGAAGCAGGAAAGCTTACAGTTAATGACAGTGGTGGGATGAGCCCCTTACGCAGCACAGCTCCATGCATTATTCAGTGGGGTTACGAGGAGAAAACCTGCACTGGAGTGCAAATGGGGGAAAAACAAGAAATCTACGTTTCTTCAAAGAGCACTTCAGTTTCATGCAAGAGCAGTTTCTTTTCCAAGCAATCTTAAACACGCTTCTTATACAAAAGTACCAAAGCACAATCCTAAGGTTTTTACTGGATATACTCAGGTTATAAGGCAATCCTCTACCTGTTGCACACGAAACCCTACCAACATCAAGCCTTGTGAAAGCAGATGGGTGATGCAGGAGTTCCCAAAGTAAATGGCAGTTTCCCACCTGCAAATCCATCCCCAGCTCAGAAGGGTGGCCAGAAGGAGCGCTTTTGGCTGCGTCCTCTCCTCGTGCCTGGTTCAGAAATTGGAAAATGGCAAAACCCCTCCTAGAGCAGTTTCCCCGTCGTTAATTTCTGTATTAGAAGCAAAAGGCAGGGGATGTCTTCTGGCACGAGTGCTCTTCAGTGCATCTCACAAAGGACCGCGTTGGACAGCATCACCGCCAGCACACGCGGAGCCCAACTTCGATCGTTTCTCAGCACTTGGGAACGGACGCTCCTTCCCGTTCCCCCCGCGGCCGGCAAAGCACGGGCAGAGCCCTCACAGCCCACGTTCAGGAGCCTCTCCCGGAGCCCCCGCTCCCCCCTGGCTGCCGGCGCAGCCCGCGGCACTCACCCAGCACGAAGCAGAGGAAGCGGCGCGGCAGCAGGGCCATGGCCAGCAGCGAGGAACCCGGCTGCCGCCTCGCCGGGAGCTGCCGCGCGATCGTGCCCGTCCTTCGTGCTTGTTTCGTGCTAACAGAAATGAAGCGAGTTCGCACAGCTCCACCTGCAGCCCAGCCGCGGCTCCTCGGGAATCGCTCTGTTAAAGACATCCCTCTCTCACATCGCGGCAGCACACCGCCCTCTGTAAAGCATCGCGCCCATCTAATTGCACAACGAGGAGGCACGGAGGGCAGCGTGTGCCGTTAGCAGTGTGCTAAGGCAAAGCCTGCCACTGCGCTCGGCTGGGCGCACACGGGGAGGAAACCAGAGACCTGACCTGCAGCTTCAGGATGAACCAGCAGCAGCGCCTGGCAGCGCAGCGCCGGGCCTTGGGAAGTGTTTGCCACCACGGTTCTGTTGAGGGGAAACAAAACGGGTGAGATTTGGAAACAGCAAAAGAGCGGCACAACTCTGTGAAGAAGGCATCTCAACCTTTATTCAGGGTAAGGCTGCTTTCAGCAGCACGGGCAGCCAGGAGCTAGGGCAAAGCACAGCCAAGGGACGGAGGTGCAATGTGATGGGTGGTACCACAGCACTCGTCTGTCTGTGGCCATCTGTGCTGGCTTCCACAGCAGGCACACGCCTAAGGGGATGTAAAACCCCAGCAGCAGCTCCACACGCTCCCACATCAACCCAAAGCAGACCACAGGGAGAGCGTGGGTGGGAGAGGCTTTCCTCTGTACTGTGCTATAGCATACAAAAGGAAGGCTTACAGGCCCAGTTCTCCAGGGCATGGCTCTGCTTCGAGCAGCCACTGCAGCACTGGGCTTATATAACCACACCGCCAGCACTGCGCGTTCTCCAAGCCAGGCCTTGCTGCCTCCCCTGCCCTGTATGAAAAGGATACTTGACATTTCTGCACAATATTTGGAATCGTTATCTGGAAGTCATGTAAGCATGCTGGCTGTTAGCATTGCAGCTATCACTGTGCCCAACACAGAGCACAACATGCCAGGGGTTGTGTGCTTCAGCAGAGAGAAGTGCTGCTGCTATGACAGAAGTCTCATCGTGATGAAATGGGAGCCTTCAACCTCAGAGAAATGCACTGAACGACAAAACTGGGAAGAATTACTTAACATCTGCCTGTACACAAAGCCACTCTCAGAAGACCTTCAGGCAATGTTCTGTCAAACAAAACTGCAAAGCATACAGCAGTGCTAAGCGAGTTTTCACAACGCTCTACCAAAAATCAAACAAACAAGAAATACAGAACAATCCCAGAGTGAGCTGGACTGCAAAAATCTCTCATGTGAAGTGTTCAGTTCTTCATTAAATCATCTACACAGAAAGAAAAAAAAAAAGTAAAAGCAGATTAAGTTTTGCTTGAACACGTGTAAGGTGAAACAAAGCATCAGCAATGTCAGCATCCCAGAGCAACACTAGAGGCTGTGCTGCTTTTGCTATGGAGGGCAGAAGTTTGCACACAAGAGCGAGGTTTCCCAGCCCTGAGAACTGCACAGAAAAGTTGTTCTGATAAAATAAAATGGTCCCTGTAGAACAGATCACATCCAGAGGTAACTGAATCGCCTGAGTTAATTCAAAGTTCTCAAAAGTCAGCATTTAGAAGTGAACAGGCTCCACGTGTTTCCTGGTGGTGCTTTCAGCATTAGGCCTAACTTCCCATCTTTTCTAATGCAGAGACTCCTCCACAGTTAACAAATATATGGATGTACAGACATTGAGATGTCCAACTCTGGGCTAGCTCTGCCAAAGGGAAAAAACAATGCAAGATTTCCAGGCAAGCCAGTAGAAGAAAGGAACTATCTACAAAATCCTTCAATATGCAAAAACTAGAGGATGTACAAACTTATTCCGTTCAATATCTACACTGAAATAAATATCTCACAACAGGAAAAAATCATCAGGTTTTAAGCCAGAATTGAGCCTGTACTGGAATTCCTCTGTGAAATGCTACACAGGAACTGGCCATTAGATGTCACCTTTGCCCAGAACATTGATCACGTACTCAGTCACCAAGTTCATCAATAAAACCTGCATAATAAAACCCCCATGTGCCCAGTTTGAGAAGAGCTAGCAAGCTCCTGTGTTTACAGACATTCTACAACAACAGTTCATCTTTAGAAATCATTGTTTTAGTGATTCATTCTATTTTTTATGCAGGAAGAGGTTCCTAGGAAGTTCTCTTAGGCTACACAGCTAGAATTCACATCTGTGTTTTTATAGGCTAAATACTCACTGATTGACACTGCCTTTCCCTGTACCAGCAGGCGTTGGTTTCCTTAGGATTTCAGAGGTCCTCTGCATAATGGAACTGATGGACAAACCACTCAGGACACCATTATTGTTCTTCCTCACCTTCAGCAGAGCATCTACAATTTTGTCTCTATAGGAGCAACAGAAATAACTGCTGACATCACTTTTTGTGCAATTATTTAGCACTCAAGCTATCGTGGCTATGGCATTCATTACAAATCAGGGCAGAACTGCAATCCAAGCACTCTCACCTACTAGCTTCTGGATGAATGTCTTTAAGTTTCTTCATTAATTTGGCAAAACTGCTCAAGTTCAATGAGTTAGGAGACATAAAGGCTTCTAATGAATTACTGGAGAGAGGAGCAGCAGGTGCTTTTGGCAGGGAATTTTCTCCAGTATCCTAAAATTACATGAAAAGCAGCAAGCAGTGAATGGGCTATGTACTGCACAAGTCATTAGGAGCATCTTTACTACCAGTAAGTATTTGTGTTACAGAAAAAGGAGAAGTGAAATACAGATAGCTTATCTACAGTTTATCAGCCACTACTATTCTTGCCTTAACCAACCTGAGTGAATAAAGAAATGATACTTATGATACTACTGTGCAGTTACATTTAAAACCTGGTAGTTTTTCCTCTGGTATCCCCAAATCTTTCCTGTACCAAAACCAAAAGATGTTATGGGGCCCTTCTCACCTTTCAATTCACATTGAAAATGTGCCAAGTAAAATGAAAAGAGAAGAAAAACAAGATAAAAACTCATGCAAATGCCTGGTTTGGGGATAAGAACTATCACAACTTGATGTGAGAGCCAACAAATGGTGATATCACTCTTTTCCAGCATGTCACCAATTTAGAACTGACACATTCTGTGCTTTCATACCCTAACACTGCTCAGTAAGCAATAAATAGAAGGAAGATAAATAGATATGAATAGATATTATAATAAATAGAATGTTAGAGGAAGGAAGTTGTAGGGCTCCAATCTGCCACATAAAGGAGCTGCTGTAATCATTAATTACCTTTTGATTAACTGCAAAGAGAAAATGTACAGAGTCTTCAGCAGAGGATTTGGGGCACTTTGCTTCTGAAGGCACTTGTGTAGAGCAAGGAGTTGGTGAAGAAGCCCTGGGCATGAGAGGCACCTTCTGAGAAGCAGAGGAGGTGCCAGGTGCTCCCACAGAACCAGAGGCTGATGGGAGTGTTTCATTCTGATCACTGCTTGCACTGCTAGCAACAGAGAGAGCTTCACCCCAAAGCTTCTTCCCAAGGATTCGGGAAGCCGAAGATCTGTTCTCTGATGGATTATTGACAAGTCCCACACTTATTGGTTTTCCTTTAATTTTTGTCCTGTTCATTTCTTCCACTGCTAACTTTGCTGCAGAGGTGTCTCTAAAGCCAAGAACTGCGCATCTAAGACGTGAAATAGGAAACTAAGTGAAGTACATCTTCAATTACTACACAGTGTTGATAAGTATCTTGGTACTGTCAGTATGAACACATGATGACTCTCGTCTTTTGAACATTAACTATGTCACAAGAGAAAATTCCAAGCTGCTTAGCTTCTCATAAGGTGAGAAGCTGCTTGGAATCACAGATTTTTGCCAACTAATCTGTACCTACATTACTTAATAGAACTTTATTAACATACCTGTGGTTATCAGAATCTGCACAGAGCAGAAGGACAGAGATCTGGTACTTCTGGAAATGCAATCTCAGATCACCCTACAAAAGCACACACGTTTTGTTTGCAGGGATATGGTACAAAAGTTCCCACGAGCAGTGAGACATCACTGCTATGGAAATGGAAGCAGGCGTACCTCTGACACCGAAGAACTCAAGCCACCAACACAAACAAAGGAGCACTCATTTGCACCCTCCGTTATCTTTGCTTCTGATAACAAACAGAAGAAATCAGACACTTATCATTTTTTCAGCTCAAACTGACATCTCTAAAGTAATTCTCAAGAAGCCATTACAGGGAAGGATGCAGAAAGGAACGAAGAGTGAACAATATCAATGCCATTATTTAGGTACATCACCTTAAAGCATGTGACCTCACCTCTCAAACCAACCGTGTCTTGTTTCTCTTGGTGCTTCCCCACTTCTTCAGATACTACTGTAAAGTCTGTTCCTGTGAAGTCCTCCTTAGCATCAAACCAACATTCATTCCATTCTTTATTTCTCACATACCCTTGACAAATAAATTTCAGTGTGTCAAACTCAGATGAATGAATATCAAACTGCTACATGCTTAAGAGGATCCCAGCTACTTACATTATTTGCTGCTAGCTGAAGAAGAGGTAACACATACCAGATTTTCCTTGTGATTCAAGTAGGAAAGGTTTATTACTACTTTTTTCTGGATACAAAGTGTAATAGATGGCTGATAGATAGGGATATTCTACTGTGCCCTGTGTTGGAATGCTTACTGATATGTATTTTACACCACTCCCCCCACCTCACCCCTCAAACAATAAGCAGACACGCTGTATTGCACCAGAAGCAGTGAGCTTACCGTGCTGCACGCCCTGCTCTTTAAGCTGCTCTTGGGACATCTTGGAAGAAGCAGAGTCACTGGGCTGCTGGCCATCAGTTAAACTTGTGGTCTGTGCACTCCCCTACGAGCACATTCCAGTTATATCATACAACTTGCACTTGATAAGCTTTTTTAACTTCAGAATATTAATCAGGTAAATTTTTAAAACCTGCTCATCTCACCAAGAACCCCTACGTTATTTTGCTTCCAAAGGACAACCCACATTGGTCACTCAGCAGCTCTTGCTGTTACTGGCAGAGAATCCCAGCTTGAGCCTTACAGCCCATGGCTGTATCAGAGCATAGCTGAAAAGAGACACTGCTCCACACAGCACAAACGTCTATCAAATGACAAGCCCCTACCTACCACGTTGACTGGAGTTCTGATTTCTTGCAGTGTTGGAGCTTCAAAACCTGCTTTTCTCATGCCTGAAACAGAACTGCAAAAGATCCAAGAACTTAATACAAAATAGAGCTCCACAAGTTTTAATTTAATTACCACTGCACAGTTCCCATCTGAGAACACTACAGAGTAGAGCTTTCCTTGAAATGAAACCACTGCACCCAAAGTACTATGCAGTCTGGAGCAATAAGATGCATCCCAAAATATAGGAATCCCAAGTTCAGCATCTTTTAAGCTCTGCTCCCATTTATTTGGAGCTTTAAAACCAGAAACAAGGACTACTTACCCATGGCAAAGTTCCTCCCTGAATAACTGTCAAAAGAGAAAAAAGGACTTAAATTTCAAGAAAGAAATCGTCAAAAGCAAACAAACAGAAAATTAAAAAAAAATACCTTGCATGGGACATAAGAAGAAACAATTGGCAATAACTTTATCTCAACTGACAGTGGTGGGAGTGCGCTCAAAGGTGTGCCCATTTGTATTTTTGCTCTCATACTGCTGTAGTTCTTTTTTAGCTCTTCCAAAACTGATGTGACAGAGGAACCTAATTCAGTATTAGGAGAGGTATTTCCATGGTATCTGTTAAAATAGAATCATCATAGAATCATAGAACAGCCTGGGTTGAAAAGGACCACAATGCTCATCTAGTTCCAACCCCCTGCCACGTGCAGGGCCACCAACCACCAGAGCAGGCTGCCCAGAGCCACTTCCAGCCTGGCCTTGGATGCCCCCAGGGATGGGGCATCCACAGCCTCCTTGGGCAACCTGTTCCAGTGTGTCACCACACTCTGAGTGAAAAATACTGCATCCCATAATAGGAAAGAAAAATTTTCCCCATCAGCAGCATGGTAAGGCATCCAGAGGCCATCCAGGTTTGCTGCAGGGCGAATATTTAGCAATTAATGCCAAGTTATCCATTTCACTCAGAAGGACATTAACATACATGCCTGCTAAAACATGCATTTTCCTCCAAAGCCAGTTTGTAGATCTTCAAGCAGTGTTGATAGCACATCTGATAGTGAGCGTTTAGAACCTGCAATTCTGCTTCAATAGCTCTCTGCAGTAGATTCTGACAGACAGACACAGAATCCTTCACAGTTTCTTTGTTGAGGTGTGCTGGCCTTCAAAATAATAATAAATACAATCTTGAAGCGTTTGAGTCAATACTACAGGTTAACTATGTTTTATTGGTTAATTAACAGCTTTACAGAAGCTACTTCTGAGGTGATTTAAGGAAAAAGATAATGCAATCCGTTCCTCCTGTTTGCAGGATTATAGAATCAGAATCCTTACAGTTGGAAGTGACCTTTACAGAATCACAGAATGGCCACGGTTGGAAGGGACCTCAAGGATCATGGATCTCCAACCCCCCTGCCACATGCAGGGCTACCAATCTCCACATTTAATTCCAGCCCAGGCTGCCCAGGGCCCCATCCAACCTGGCCTCGAACACCTCCAGGGACAGGGCATCCACAGCCTCTCTGGGCAGCTGTTCCAGCACCTCACCACTCTTTGTAGAGAACTTAAAAGAACTTTAAAGACCATCCAGCCCAACTGCCCTGCAACGAATACAGCTTCCAACCATCCATCTCCAACACAGAAATCTTACCCAGCATCTAGAATTCCGAACAGAGAACAATTCACAACCCACCTGTCAGCCTTTATCTTTAAACCGTCGCTACACAACTCAGTTTTGGATTCCCACTGTTCCTAAATAAAGATGATTACAAAGAAGTTACGGGTTAACATTTGTACAGACAAGTTCTGAGCAGTGTTAGGTTAACAAAGCTGTAATGCATCAACATTGTTATTTCTGGAGTTACCTTGACTTGTGAACTTCTTTCATTTGCTGCAGCAGCACTGCCATCCTGGTGCACATCAGCAAGCTGTGACCCCATTTCCTCTGTAGGACCAGCTCCAGACAGCCAGTCTGTACTGCAAGCAACACTGGCACAAGTTTCTCCAAGCCAACCCACATGTCTGAATTTGTTCATCATTGTCATCTCTGTATTAATTGCCCTGGATAAGAGAGGAACTCGAGCACTGGTACTTCTGCTGGTTGTAAAGCAAACTCTAAAATCAGAACTTGCATCGACAGCCTGGTTAACTTTAGAATTACTGACCACATTTACCAAGCTTTCACAACACTCCAAGTTGAGGGAGGCAGTGGTATTTGCACTGCAAGCTTCCTCCCCAGAACAGAGATCCTTGCTAGTGAGAACTGCAGGGACTGGACGCTGCTTCTCATCCCCCTTTGAAGCGCAGTAAGCACAGCTGGCACCACACATGCACAGGAAGGGTTCCTCACAACTGTAAAAATCAGAGTCCCCTGCACTTTTGCAGAACTGTGTGGCTGTTGCTAGGGCCCTTTCCCTTGCTGACAGTAAAGGGCTTCCTTGCTCCACTAAGTTGCAGTTGTTCTGTTTGGGCTGCATGCCATCACGTAAGGAAGCATCTTCCACCTCTGCATGGTCATGTACAAGCAGATTTGGATAACTCCTTTCTCTATTCCCATATGCATGACTTTCACACATACTTCCAGCAAGACCACTGAGAGATGCTGCCTGCTCCTCCTTACCACCACAAGCCCTGCCACTGCCAACAGGCTGAGAGTCCTGGAGCAGCTGGGGAAGCTCTGGCACAGCTGTGCAGCGCTCAGAAGTAGAGTCAGCAAGATTTTGTTCCTTTGCAGCTCCACCACCTGCAACGTCATGAACTGGATCTACCGCCACTAGGGCTTCCATTCCTACACCTTCCCTTTGCTCAGAAAGCTCGCTCGAGCTATTCCCATCATCAAAGCCTTCTTCGTTCGCACTGATGTACTCCAGCTGTGAATCTTCACCCACCTGGACGGGACTCCCACCACCACAAACCCCGCAGCTGCACTGCGTACCACCACCACACGCCCTCCTCAGCACATCAGCTTCTTTCTGGCTGTCATCTACCTCCGCACTGCAGGTTCTCATTCTCGCGTTATACACGTCGATATCAGCATCTAAAGACGTACTCAGGTAAGGCAAGCTTTCCTCTGGTAACGCTGCAAGGCCCCTGCCGGTGCTCTGCTGGGCTTCCCGGGGCCGAGGGCAGAGCAGGGAGCCGTGCATGAGGCGCTGTTTGCTTTTAGCATCGTCCTCCTGCAGCTCCATGGCGCAGATGGGGCCTTCTTAGAAGCGATCGACGCAGCTTCTCCTGCAGGCAGCCACGGCCACCTCCTTCACGAAAACAAGCCAACTTCAAGGTATTCGTGCGGTACAAGAGCGCCCTTTCCCCTCATCACCGACTGCAGCCCGCGCTTGCAGGCCCGGCCCTCACAGCGGAGCCCGCCCGCCAACGGCCCGCCACGCGCTCAACGGCCGCCGCGTCTGATTGGCTGAGGGGGAGCCCTCGTGCTGCCGCCGCCATTTTGCCTGAGGCCGCCGCCATTTTGCCTGAGGCCGCCGCCATTTTGCCTGAGGCCGCCGCAGGTGTGGCTCTGTACCTTACCGCTCTCCAAAACGCGCTTTGTTGCAAAATTGCTTTCGGTCCTGGCTGCTGCGAGGCCTGAAGTGCAAGGTCTGCTCTCCCAGAGTCCTTAAAATGCGGTAAAAACGCGTTGAGGCTTCTAAACAGTGCAGTGGCAGTGTGAACGGATCCACCCCCGAAGCACAACGGCCATCAGAAGAAAGCCGGCCCGCCCGCCCTCAGCCCCGCGGCCCCTGCATTCCCACACAGCGCTGCTCGGAGCCGTTCCCCAGCAGCAGCACGAGGACAGACCACCAAAACTACCCGACAAGTGATGTTTTTATTGGCAACTTCTGCTGATGAGTTTCCTTTTTCACGCTCCTGACATTTATATATAAAAAGGAAAAAAAAAAAAAAAAAAAAGCAACCAATAAACGTTTCAGGTAACATTCCATTCTGCAAACATTAAAATTATTTAACATTTGAAAATAAACCCAAAGGGTAGCAGTTTTAAATAGAAATTGTAGGAGAAGGCAGGTTTGGGGCTATTGGAGGCAGCCCTGCCTGGAGCCCAATGGAAACAATGTGGGCACATGCTGCTATCATCATCCAAAGCCCTGCTATACATTCTTCACAGGAAGACACAAACCAGTTTGCATTAAACCCAACGCTGCTTTCTCTTCCCTTATTCTAAAGCTAAGTCATACTGAAAGTTACGGGGAAAAACGCGGCTTCAACATCCAACTATTTCATCACACACAATGATTCCTACTAAGAGCATATCCAGGTTGAAATACACAGCTGATTTCTGTCATGAGGCAAATGCTTATGGGGTGCAAGATGCAATCTGCTTAAAAAAACACATCACTTCTTGATGAGCAAAACATTATTTTCAGCCTTTTGGACCAACTCTAATTGCTCCTGAATATTGCCAGGGGAGTTCTCACCTCTACCACACATAAGATGACTGATGGTAATCACACACTTCATCATCAGTTAGCAAGATGTAGCATTTAACATGTTTATTGGCATTCAGAAAAACCCTTAACTCTTTTTTTTTTTTAGGCCCCAGAGGCTTTGTACACCAGAAATTACACAAGTCACATAAAGTTGTAAATAGGTATCGACAGCGATTTTGAGGTATTCCATGAGAAACATGGATCTGCACCTGAATGTTCCTCTCAAGAAAAGGAAAACAAAATCCAAAGCCCTAGCTGGAGTGTAAATTAAATCATTTAAGATTCCTCCATTTCCCATGTTCTACCCCAATTGACCAACAAGGACATACTTATTTCCTCAGAGGCACAGCAAGCCTACCTCCTCCTCCTCCTGGAGTATTCACCTCATTATTTCATCCCTGAAGTTCAGGGCACTCAGAGGGACAAAGAAGAAGGTGTTATAACCTAGCCAAATCAGAGAAACACATTCATATACTGGTTTTGGTTTACTGACCTTGTGAAGGTGCTCTAAGATACCAGCAATCCCCTGATGTTCCAAATAGCAGCAATTTAGCCTCTAACCTCCAGTCTATGAGGAAGAGGCTAGGGAAGGATCTGGACCAGCAAGTCCAAAACCAAGTTAGGACAACATGGTCTTCTGAGTTTGCATTTGGCTTAATAGAACCGTACTGACAGAAGGCTGCTCCTGCCAAACAGGAGATGCGGCTCCGTCACACGAGCAGATCCCTTAGGGAATGCTCACCTGCATTACTTCTGGGGTAGGGCTGAAGAGGAAAGGACAGATGTCATCTTCAGCTAACTGCTGTTCTCCTTGGAGTTGTACATTCAGAGTTTTTTTCCCACAGACCAGAGCTATTGTGCTAGTTGTGTAAACTGCATCATTTAACTGGTTACGGTAGTTTTCATGAAAAGTGGAAAACCTTTACAGTGACTTGCAAAGGAAATATTTTGCTATCTCTGTATTTGTAAAGAACACAACACCCATATGCAGTAACATTTTCTAAAGTGCTTCTTATCAGTTACTTTTTAAAGATTAGACTTGCATTCTGTAGCGGCGTATTTTCCTAGCAGTTCATGGACCAGTAGATAGTTTCTGATGTAAAAAACCCATGACGTATTTTGTTTAAGCAAACGACACTTGCTTTGACAAACGTACTAAAGTCATGTAAGTGCAAAACCCACCACTTCTTCAAACATGGCCTTACGCTGGTTTATTAACACAACTTTACATCCTTAAGAAGTATTCTACTTCAATTCCAAGAGCTGGGATTAAATAATACAAATGAGATTTGAAATCCAATGAAGCTATTGCCTATTTACCCTGAAATAAAATAGTCTCATGATTTGACTGGTGCAAAAATCCCTCCAAACACCTTTGTTTTATTGGCAAAGTCATTTAAGGTCACTTTTGCTTCCAAGACCATCTTCTTCCACGGTTTCCACTGAAGGAGTTTTGCTTTGTAATGGCTTGTGGTTCCACAGTGATTTGTAAATGAAAAGCCTACTATGAATAACTCTACCGTAGTCACTAAATTACAGATACAGTCATGAGAAAGTCTAAAACTTACAGTGTTTTGTTGTTTTTTTTTTTTAAATTCTCAGCAAGACACAAAATTCCAGTCCAGTTAAAGTGTTTTCTTTGAATGCCATTTTAAATGGCGAGAAACAGCTGCCGTGCCTTCTGGGAGAACTTAACGCGGCGCCCCGATGTGCTTCTTATATGGTATACAGATATTGTATGCCAAGTGTACCCACAGCAGTGTGTAGAAGGGCCCCGCAGGCACAGCCATTTGGATCAGCTACTCCTATGGATATAGTGCAGTAGATTTGAATCTGCGTAAAGAGAACCACAGCTGGGTGACACCTAGCAAATGTTGCAGTTGTCTGTTGTCAGAAGGCATGACGCAAAGCATCCCAGACAGCAAGACACAGAAGCATCTGTAACACCGTTCGGATTCTGTCCAGTAGTTGTTTCCACTGAGAGCTGGTGGTTATTGCTGTGACAGTAACGCACTGCGGTTGGCCTTCATCTTCTCCAAGCGTTTTACTAAGTGACCGTTGCTGACTTCGAGCTCTTCAGTTTTATCCAGTGCCGAACGAAGCTGAAGGAAAGAAGAAGAAAAAAAAAACATAACTTTTGCAGTGTTTGCCCTTTCCAGCAATAAAGCAAAGTTTGTAGTTACCAACAGTAACTGACAGTATTGCAGGAGCTTCCTTACATGGTAAAGCAGCTGAAAATTCACGGTAGCGGAGTTAATGGTGAATGCAGCACTGCTGCTTTGAAGGCCACACACACAGTTACTAAGCACAGTGCCAAGAACACAAACTATTTACAGAATGTTGAACATCTGGCTCACAGTTGGCCTTGGCTTCAGAGGCATGGATGCTCAGATATCTGCTGGGTAATATACACCTTTCTCACAGTGCCTGACTTTTGCATTTCTGGTTCCCAGAGTTACAGAAACAGCCTTGACTTTGGTGCCTTAATTTTCTATAAAATCCACCAAGGGAGAAAGCACCAGACTGCACAGAGTAACAGCTACAAAACACCCTGCCCTAATAAGGGTGCCAATGACAACACAAAACAGATTTTAGGGCTTCCCTCAATTTGGGACTTGCTAATAGTTAGACTGGCCCTGAGAAAAAACAAGTGTCACTCCTTCTGACAGTAGGAACAGGAAGAGATGGAGCAAAAATGCCCTAGTCTAGAGCTGCCACAAGAGAGCACTTATTACGGGCAGCATAGCAGGAAGAGCTATTTAGTTTTTATGGTGCAGAGAGCCCTTAGGACGCAGGCGTGAAAGCAGCTGACAAACATATTTAAGGCTGGCTGTAGCAGTTGCTTAAAGATAACATGAAGTTTGGTAAAAGAAATGAGGTCGAAATTATGAAGAGCTTGAAAAGTGTGCTTTAAGAGAGAAATATGGGCAGAGTCTGGATGGGAATGCAACAGGAAAGAGGCATGAACAGATAACTGAGCAAGAAAAACATGTTTAAAAGGAACAATTCACATTCATTTACAGCTTGAGATTAACATGCAGAGCTGAGCATCTGAAGGCTGCACAGGCAGCACCTGAGTTTCCTATGACAGTTACATTTAAAGTTACCTCTCTCTGTAGTTTGCGCTTCTCTGCTTTCAGTTCATCTTCTACTCTTTCAGCATTTTCAGCAGCAGTTTTGTATCGGGCTACCTGACCTTCCAATCGTATTACCTAGTGCAAATGCAAATGTTTGGAATTAAAGATTACTCTGAAGCTTCACTCCTCTGCTAATAGTTAAGCAATACCCAGTGAAAGTTGGTAGATTTATTTCAATCAAAGAAAGGCATGTTTTGAGAAAAATATATCAAAGAAGCCATGGCATCTACCTTCAGACCCTTTAGATGTATCCATATTTCATATGCTTCCAGCAACAGAAATCACAGCCCATTTACTAAATCTAGCCATTTATACTCTGATCACGAGCAAACAGTTACATTTGAACAGCACTGCACAAAACCAACATATACTATCTCATGTGCCAGGAGCTATTTGAAAACTGCCAGCAGCTAGACACATGAAAGTATTCTGAGGAGCTCATAAAGTGCTCTGAGTACAGTTGTGTTTGAGAGCTTTTCATTTGGTAGACATGAATAATATATTGACTTTCCCCTAGAGATGAAAAAAAGTATTCTAGTCCTCGTGACTTAACTTCAAGAGCCTTGGTGCTCCAACGATCCTGCTTTTTATTTTAAGGGAAGTCACATTAATTAAGATTGCACTTTTCATGGAGTAAAACACACACTCTGCATTCTCATCAGGACTGAACAAACAGAACAAAACGGGAACTTACATTCTGCTCCAATGCTGTTATCTCTTGCTCAGACTTGGCTAGTTTAAATTTGAGATCACTGATCTGTCTGTTGGCATCTCCTAAAAGAATTGCAGATTTATAAGAGACGTCAGAATAAGGCTCAACAAATCTGTCACAACAGTGCCTTGGGTTTCCTTCTGTACTAAGAGCTGCCAGGTAAACCCACTCAGTGCCCAGCAGATAGTAGCTAACCCCAACCCTGCCTGACTGCCTTCTGATCACTCAAAGCAGACATAACCAGGTGTGATATGGAACTCACCCTCAGCTCTCCTGCAGAACATAAAAGAGATTTCCCATCCCAGTCTTGTTCGATGGATTGTTCCCTCACCTCTAGAGGTGCCTCCTAACTGGCTCCCATTTTGAAATTCCCTTAGGACTGAAGGCTCACTCTTACTTCAGGACACATGTCCATTGTACAGGCACATTGTCTCACCTTCATTCATGACACAGAAGTTCTCTTAAAATGAAAACAAGCTTACTTTGGAGGTCAATCATGTGCATATCTGTCCCATTTTCCAGAACTTCAACTTCAGACTGCGCATTCTCCAACTTGCCATTCTTCTGCTTTTCTTCCAGTTGTCCCTTTAATTTTTTAACCTGAGGTACACAAGATAATTATCAAAATAAGACACTCGTTTCAAGACTCGTTTAAGAGTTACGAGGCTTTTTTTTTTTTTTTTTTCTCCAAACAAAATTAAAAATATGTATCTTTTCTTACATTTCTCAGAAATTCTTTTGGCAAGTGACTCACCATAGCTTAAGTATCAGTGCTTATGCATAAATTTGGGATCAAGAATAATACGAGGAAGAAGAATGTTTTATTAGAAAAGCCAGAAATGTTCTGTAGGCACAGTCGCATAAAACATCCTTAGTAACCCCAAACTGTGATTGACTATGCATGAAAGCCCAAGGCCAAGGATACTGTCTGTAAATGGAAGCATAGAGCATAATGCAGAGAAACAGATCAGCTCAAGAGTTCTGAATAAAGATCATAACCACTATATCATGGTATCAGCAATAATTACCTTAATTGTTATTTACCAATCTACTGTAATCCCACCAGCATTCTCTCCAAACTGCCTACTGCCCACAGAACCAGCAATCAGGAAGGCTTACTCTCAGAGGTCAGATTTGCTTTTCTAATTTCTGGACCATATTTGCTTTTTCCCCCTTGGCCTCACTCAGTCCAAAGTATTACTTTTCAGACAGAGGAGGAGGTTTAGGTGGCTACAGACAGCAGCCTGGAATACTCAGAGCACTGAATGTTAGCAACACGAAATGTAAGCCCCTGGGTCATCTGTTTCACACCCTGTGTTAATGCACAGGAGAATTCCAGGGGGAAGCAGCCGAGTCTTTGGCAATAAGAATGCAGCACACGTTCTGAAAGAACAGCATGTATGTTCTGTAGTCTGTGTCAGGGTTCCTGAACACTGTATTGTTTTTATCATACCTTAAATGAACACACAGCATTTCAGTTCTCACGTGCTCACCTGGTCTAGTAAGGACTCTCGTTCACCAATGAGTTTTTTCAGCCTTTCTGAAAGAGAAAACTGAAAGCTCAGTGCTGATTTAAGTGAGCCATGCACTTCAGAGTCATCTGATACAAGAGGGACCCGTTAAGGTTAGTGAAGGTAATGATGAAGGTAGTTATGCACGTACCACGGGAAATGAGGCCACAACAGGACTGGGAAGGGGCTGCAGCCAGGGGAGGTTATGTCATTCTCACAGAGCATGCTTGTCACGGCACCCACTGCATGCAAAGAGGCTAATCTTCTACATTAGGTTAGCATGCAAGAACTCTAGGGTCAAACACAACAACTGCAACACAAAATCTCACAAATCTTTACAGTTTAGCACAATGAAAACACCACAAACACCTCTAATCATAGCTATGCACATTCTCAGCACTGAAAATCCTCACTTCAAAAGGAAAACTAAACAGCGTGACAATGACATTACGTTATCTTCAGTACTATGACAAATAAAACTTTTATCCATGAAATTATTTTTATTTCAAACTCAAGAGCCTGGTAAAGCATTCATTTGTCTTTAACCCTTCACAGTCAAACATCAAGAAGGTAACAGGCAATCTAGACTCGCTGTGCTAGACTTGAACTTGGAAGTACAGCAAATCAGCAAACAGATGTGTGTGGCATTGTTTAATAAAGAGCAGTACAGAATGAGACAACTGGAAAACAGCAGTGAGTAAGCAAATCACTTGTTTCTTCTTTCCTAGAAATGCAAAACGTGAAAGTATTTTAGCAGGTACTGTGTGCAGCAAATGATAACTCACATTTTTTGTGATAACTGAAGTCGCTCTACCTCATTAATTGACAGCCTGAGCGTGTTCAGTCATCTCAACAAAAGTACACCAAACATCATCTTCCAGTATTCTTATCAGAAGAGGATATACTGACCTCAGATAAGTCTTACTCCACGTGTATGTTTATTGCAGTTATTTAGGTTTGACACACACGTTTGTTGCAGTTTTCTTTAGTTTCCCTCCCTTGCCAGCAGGCAGTCAACTGTGCAGAACCAAGGCAGTGAGCGTGCTCAACTCCACCTCTAAGGTCCTGCCTGTTAGCTGCTCAATCATTAAAATTCAAAGGTCATACATGAAAAAAAAAAAAAAGACACTTGTAAAGGTAAGGAAAGCAATTCATCAGTTACAGACTGAAGGCTGTTGGTTTTTACCAGGTGAATTGGTTGGATTTTCATGGCGGTAGACAAGTATTTTTGAAAAGCTTTAAAGACACAACATGCTGTCATCCTCATTTATTGTTAAACCCTGAACAGGCCAATGTTTTCTTGCTGACCTTTTTGTTTTCTTGTTAAGACAAGGAATTAAGGGAATAAACGGTCTGTATTCAATCACGTCGTGGGGAAAGCTCAAGTTTTCAAATGAAGCTCATGCTGACAGACGTAACGAATAGCTCATGGACTGCACATGGTAAGTCACTCCCCTCCTGCATAGACAAGTTCTCCATATCAGCAGTGATTCCAGAGCTTGGAATCAAACCTTTACCTTGACTTCAGATGCGACACCCAAATACAGATATCAACATAACATCCCAGTACAGCAGCTCTGTGCATTCATTTTGAACCTCCTCAAGTCCTATCCCTTTTCACAGCTGTTTGTAACACACCCAGCGCTCTCACACGTGAACATTGTCACAAGACAAAAAATACATTTACATTTTTGTAAACTAACGAGAAAAAAATACCAAGTGTAAAATGAGAAAACAGTTTCATCTATCTATATGGAAAGAGGCTGAAGACAAATCCTGTAAAAAGATGACAGGGAAGGAAAATGAAGTCCAGTAACGAAAGCAAGGAGAGCAAACAGGAAAAGGAAGGTCACAGATACTCAGATAAGCGATGGTGCCAGAGCTCATCAGAGATAAAGCAATGGAATTACTAACGGTAGACAAAGAGAACAAGGACTGATGCAGAAGAAAATCATTAAGTCACTTGAGGGACTCCAAAGAGTTGAATAACTCATTAGCACAGCTGCTGCTGTGGGGTGAAATATTCCTGCCTAACAGAAGGACAGGTGCTGGTCACAGCAAGTAGGGCGCAGTGCCATTCTTTTTGAGAAGAGAACAGGACAGGTGGGATGGTGGCAGCTCTGTGGTTACCAGTGTTTTCTGCCATTGCACAGGCTCGTTGAAGCCACACGACCATTGTCATTGCTTTGGTAAAGCAGCTGACTCACTGTGCTGCTTCAGTGGCAAAGCTGAGCTAATATTCCCTAATCACCCACAGATACCTGCTGCCTCTTCTTACATTGAGGACAGCGTGCAGTGGGATGCAGCTGTTGATAACTTGAATGATTTGCATGGTCTACCAAGTAATTAATGGCAGTGCAGCTGAAAAGGGTAAGCTGTCCTTAGAGGATGGGAAGGCAAGCAGCAAAGGCTGCAACCCCTGAAAACACACCAGCAGTTTCAAGCAGCTATTCCAATCAGCTTGCAGGGATCCAACAACAGGCTGGACAATACTACTATTCTGGAGCCATCAATTTATACTGCATCATTTAATAAAAGAATAATAATAGAACAGAATGCCTTCCACTCTTGCCCAGAAGAGGGAAGTTCATGAGCAAGCATGAGGATAAGCACGAGAGTTAGAAGGCACTGGCTTTACAGCACAGATTTTGAAGGTGACAGCAGGACCACTCTTTCAGAGGGACTGTTGACTGAGGCCTTTCACTGTTACTTGCTGAATATGAAAGTTATTTCACCTACTGCTTTTCAAAGCATTTGATGCTAGCTGTGAAGTCACAGTAATGCATAAACCCGGCACTCCAGGCTATGTGTGCCCCTAGGTCTCAAACACAGAACCCAACAAGTGTTTGAAGTTATTTTGAGAGATGAAAGTCCTCCACATTGCGACCAGTGCTCACTGCAGCAACAAAGAAGATTCCAGTAAAAATCGAAGAGCTAGAAACACCAAGATCACCTCCTTCTTCCTGGTACCTGTCTGACTCCAGAAGGCAAGGACCAGCTGCCGAGATTGGTTCCAAGAGGCAGCATTCATGGGTAGATTTATGATACATGAGCTGTTCTTCATCACCTGCCCCATGTTCTTGTTCCTGCCCTAGTTTCATTGAGATTTGGCAAGGTACTGTGGGATGAGAGCACGCACAAGGACAGTTAAGGCTCGAGGTGTCATTTCTTTCCATGACTTAGCTCTACAGAGGGACTTCTCTAAGGATGCCGTATTTTCTGAAGTGGAAAAAATGGTTAAAAATAGGTCTCCGTTAATTTCCCTTCAACAGTCAAGCAGCACTCCTGTTAAAAACAAACTTATGAAAAATAGAGGAAATGTTGGCAAATGCCTCATTTAAATGAGAGTTGTTTATAGATCCATCCACAAGTTTAGGCAATGTCTGGCATGAAATTAGTTAGATATATAACTGTATTTAACATTTAAATATACATACATTTAGAATACTTTCAACATTAAACCATACGTTACAGTTGAGTGTTGCAAAGAAAACAATCTTACTTAAACAATGCTATATAATAAGAAATGATGCTCTAGAGAACGATGACTCTTTAGCTTAGAATTAAGTGTAACAGTAAGAACAACTGCTAATACTTACAGAAACCATACTGTAGCTGCTCTAAGCTGGAAAGAAGCCATATGAAAAGGGTTACAGGCTTACAGTCCTGTCACAAGTGTAGAGCCAAGGTCCCATCAAACACTGAACGTCCTCAAAGGCTGCCTGTTCCTAACAGGACAGCTCTATCATCTATGTAGCACAAAGCAATACATTTAAAAAAAGAAAGCTATAGAAAAATGTTTTTGAAGTGAGAAGGATTTAAATAAATATTTATACAAGTTTATAAAGAGTGCTCCGGACAGACAATTTGAAGTATAAAATATGTTTATTTTAATTATATACAGCTCAGTACACTTTGATATACATCTTGTAATTTTGCAGTCTATTTGAACTCTGTCAACTTTGTAACATCAACAGATAGAATCTTCTGTAGCCCCCCAGCTCCTCAACTTGCATCCCTTTGCATGTTCATCACTTAATACAACCTCAAGCTAATTATTAATTATGCAAAACCCAATCTTCCTGCCAAGCACTATAAAAATGCAAGAAATACATCAATGGGTTGAAGTGTCTCATTGATGCCAGTAATACAAGGTAATCCAGCTTTCCAAAAAAGGCACGGGGGCTCATATATGGAAAAACAGCCTTTGGTCTGACATCCATGAGGATTAAGACATCCTGAGTTACTTTCTCTCCAGAAAAAGAGGAGGGAAGAACTTTTCAAAGAAAAACATTCTTTCATAATATTTTGCAAAAAATATATATAATGCAGTAAGGAATGCAATATTAAACGCTTTGGTTTTAAAAATATATTTATATATTCATAGGTACAGTATTGGATAGCAAACCTAAGCATGTTACAGTGTGTATTGACACTTTCTTAGGAAAAAAATACAGAACCCATGTGAGACATGGTGCAGAAGGCCTGTTGTGCAAAGTGCCTAGATGAAGTAAACACGTACGTGTTTGCTCCTTTCAGCAACCCATATGTTGCATTTCCTTCAAATCATATATTGTTCCTCCAAAGTTGAGACTTAATTCACAGTGATCTACCAATAGTTTGGAATATGTCCATTTAATAAACATACATACAAAAAGTGGAATGAGGATATCTTTTTTCCTTCTTTTTCTTGCTATGGAAAAGGGCTCCTAGGCTTTAATCATTCAGCAACAAATGCTAGCATTAGATCTAAGTGTTGCTGATCTTTTGAGTTCCTTCATAACAAAGCATTAACATACTGTAGCCCTCTTGCACATACATTCAGATAATCTACTTTTATTCCAGGCTAGAAAGTAGGAATTTCATATAAAAGCTCCTCAGCAGCAGTTATCAGCACTAGAAGTATTTTAACTGCAAAAGCCTGATCAGTTCCTTTGTGAAGCTTGCTTTGTTTGGTGACACACATTTAACCTGAGACACAGCAAAACCAAACCTCTGGATGATTTTTTGTGGCTAGGTACGTCAGTGAATCATTTAATATCTGCATTATCACCACTTACATGACCAAACAGTGCATTAAGAGATCTACCTGCAAGGAAAAAATGAACACCTTAAGAGTATTCCTATATTCCTAAGGGCTGATTTATCGTGCAAAGTGCATGCTTCGGTACAGAGCCTGATCAAATGGCTTCTAATTTGTATGGTCTGAAATTCAGAACTTAGGACATCGTACAGTCATCTTTAGATTTACCCTTGCCCTTCCTACCACCTCGTAAATCCTCTTTGCTTTCAGCCCTGTTACAGCCAGCACTTTCCAAATCCTGTTCTAGAACATTTTCACCTGGTGCCTTTTCCACATCATTAGAATCTGATGCTTTGTTTTCATCTGCCAACTCATCAGCCTTCTTGTCAGTTTTCAGTGCTGATGCTTCCTCTTGCAAGTGCCCTGTTTCTTCAGACTCATTTCCTTTCTCATGCTGTGAGCTGTCATCTTCAGTCAAGGTGTCAATGGTTTCTATTTTGCCAGTTCTCTCTCCAGCTTCACCTGGTTGGGCAGTTTTTCTGATCACACTGTTTGTTCTGTCATCCTCTTCACCCTGTGCATCAACTTCTTCTCCATCGCATTTTTCATCAGTTTCCATTGCCTGTTCTGAATCCTCATCAAAATCAAATGCATCACCATCATCTTCTTGTTCTTCCTCTACTTGGCCCTCTGGTCTAAGTTGCTCACTAACATTTTCATCCAGCTCAGCTTTCTGTGCAAGAGAATTATCTGCATCTTCCACAGAAGTAAGTTCATCACCCTGGTGGTCTGCAAGCTCTGACTGCTTTTTATTTTCTTTAAATGCTTCTTTACCAACTTGGTTCTCACTAGTTACACTATGACATACAATGGATTCCTCTTTAGATTCAGCTTCCTCTTGCTTGACTACATTCTGTGCTTCACTTTCTAAAGAAATATTCTCCTCATCCTCTGTATCACCTGTTGTTTCTTTAGCACACTGAACTGTTTGAAGCTCTACCTCTGGCTTTATGTCTTCTGTTCTATTATGTTCTAAGTATTCTGTTCTATTTTCCTCTCCTTTCCCAGACACTTCTCCTGTTCGCATTTCTATTTCCTCAATTTCATCATCTGAAAAAGCTGGGTCTAAACTGGTTTCCTGAGATGCCATTTCTTTCACAGCATCTGTATCTGGCTCTGTCTTATGCAGTGCATTTCCTTCTACCTTGTTAGCAGAGCCCACAGACTCCCCAGATGCTTTCTCCTGCTTTTCTGCAGAATCTGAACACACCTCCAAGTTTCCAATCAACACTTCCTCCTGTCCATCTTTCTCAGCAGGTTTAAGTTCTGTTTGCTCCTGTGTATTCTGTTCCTCTAATAATGCTAACTCACCATCCTCTGAGGAAACTGGCTGGATGTGTGCCTGATCTCCTCCCTCTTCATTTGTATTTGATGGGGCACCACTTTCACATGACTCCTCCCCTTCTAAGTCTGTAGAATCTCTTTTCATTTTCTGTCCCTGAACTGCACCCCCAACCTCATTTTGTTCTCTAGCTCTATCACCTCCAGTTTCATCAGCTGTTCCATCAGTGCAGTCTTTGCTTTCAACAAGAGCTTTCTCCAAGACCTCTGTAACTTTGTTTTCAGCACTTTCTTCTGAGCACTGGAGTGTTTCAGCATGGCCCTCCACCTTTACCTCTTCACTATGTGAGCCTGCTAGCACAGGCTCTGCTAGCCCTGACTGGCCAGAAACCATCTCACTGCTGTCACCTGCACTGTCTGCTGCTTGCTCCACCTCATTAGGACTCAGTGCATGGCTAGCTTCCACATCCTCTCCTTCTTCCTGTTGTGGAGCAGCTTTTTCCAGTTCATGCTCTGCACCTAAGTCACTGTGCATTTCCTGAGGACTCTCAAAATCCTGACCTTGCAGTGAGCCCATTTCTGAGTTCTCAGTTGTCCTTGGGTTTAACTTACTGTTAACCTCCTCGCTAACAGGCTGCAGGGCTGCTGTGTCTGCTGACTGTGTCTCCTTTCTCAAATCATCTGCATCACTATCATCATTTGAAGAAGCATTCCCTGACACGGGTTCTGTAAGGCTTTGAATTTGTTCTGTAAACCTACTATCTGGTAACATCACTGTTGACAGAGCGTCAGTTTCTTCAATCATTTTTTCTGCCTTTGTATTTTCATCAGCATGCAATGTCTGTACTTCCTGTTCCTCAGACTCCTCTTTGTGTTCCTCACGCTCAGAATTCTGCAAGATTTCTCTTTTCCCCACATCCTCCAAAATCTCATTTTTCATGTCCACTTCATTGGCTTTGCCTAAAAGACCATTGAGAAAGTTGAAGGGACCGCACCACAGCTCTTACCTCCCCACTTAAAACCCGAAAGAGAATGAATCAAAGAACAGGTTAATGGAAGATCAGCTTTTGCCAATTATGTGAGGCAAAGCAGCAATTGAATTAGTAAGGGTGTGGGTTTTTTGATCAGTGAAATTCACCACCACCACCCTCTCAAAGCAAGAAAAGCCTTCAGTGCTGGCCTGTGTTTTTGTCAAGTAAAAGATTTATGCTCTTAGCTATGTGAATTGCAGCTTCTGGAGATGAAAACAACTTTGTTTCAAGCAATGCAATGTAACAATAATATCTGCAGATGTAACTTTGTAACTGTAAAGACTGCATTTTCTCGGCAGTATTTTCTACAACTTCAAGCCTACCACCACTTGGTGCATGCAAGAGTGTGTCTGATGCCAGTAGAATGAAGTAAGCAAGAGTAACTCAGTAGTGTTTCATCACAGGCATCATCAGTGTTTACGTATATATAAATCTGATTGGCAAGCAAATGTTTCAGCTGTTCAACATTACCAACACAGACACTTAGTGCCACTCCATCCACTCAAAGGGATGGGGACTTCTGTAGGTTGGTTGTTGTTTTCTTCCAACTTTATTTAGAAGCAACAGGTACTAAATCAACACTGTGGCTTCAGTAGTTAGCTTTCGAGTCTATGCTGTACCTGTTTTCAAATAAACAGAATAAGGAAAGACAGAAAACATATTACATTTAAATGTATACCCTTACCTTGATTTTGGTGCTCCATATTATTTCCATACAAAAACAGAGTGAGGAAAAAGCAGCCAACAGTAAGATAAATTGCACTTGCAACTGTTGGTTGCTTGTTGCTATTTACTATGATGCTGATTTAGAGCAATAACAACAAAAATCTCCTTTGCTATTGTAACAGTTCTCTGAGTGGTCACTCATCACAACTGGACAAGGAGGAACTTTTTGCCAACCAGATTTCTCCTTCCTCACAGTATCCGTCTCAGAGTCAAATTCATTAAATTTAGTGGCTTTAATTCCATTATAAGAGGTTGGAATGCTGAAGTGGTAAAATGAACTGCTCAACAGTATGAGATACCAAGAATAAAGAACTCATGCACCAGAGCGTTTTAATGGTGACCACCATTTCTGTTCAGCACATGCTGACAGTTCTCAGGTATGCAAGCGAACCAACATACAAGCTTTTTATATAAGACTAAAATGCTTTCATTTTGATTCTTGAAGATATGTGCAGAAAAATGCTGAATGATGACACGAATTTGGGACAATTCAGAGTTTAAACAGTAATCCGAATGATTGCTACTTATCTGTAACATGTAATACTTGTATTCTTGTCCTTTGCCACCTCAAAAGGGGAATGAAGTCTGCTTTTGCAGGAAACTGCACAACACACTTGAAGTGATAATAAATATCAAGCAGGAAAATGCATAACGTGATGTGAAGCACAAGTGATTCAACAAGTGGCATGCTGCGTGATGTGTTAATTGTCCCACTAACAAAAGCCCAAACTCCAAGCAAAGATGAATGAGTGGACAGACAGACAGAAAGATACGAAAGGATAGCCAGCACTTACCTAGCATCCCGTCCCCTGTTGTCTTTAATGCCTGTGTTGTGCCTTGAACAGTTTTGGAAGAATCCAAGTGTCCTTCATTATCAAGAACGTCTGATGCCTCCCCATTGGTGGCTATGTCAGAATCTGGGATTATTCCATGTTTCTATGGAGAAGCAAAAGCAATGCTTTAAAGCCTGCTGCTCAGTAAGAGTAGGATCGTTCAGATGTTCTTGTCCTTGACATTCTGAACAAATAATTGCTTCAATTGCTCCATTAAAAATTGCTGGAAGTCAGAAAATAGCACAGAATATTACAGTTCTCTATTTAGCCAGCATCACAGAAAGCATGTGATACCAGCAAGGCTTCAATCTTTAAACATAATTCTGCTTTGTCAAGTGCTCCTCAGAGATGAGTCTCCTACAAAAGCAACAGTTTAATGCTGAACATTACAGTCTATACTAAGAGCTCACAATCAATATTAGGGGGAAGGACTTTATCAGAAAATGCCTGAAATGGCAACTTATAGGCAACACAACAAGAGTTCTTGCTACTCAGCTACAAAAATGCATAGGAAGGAAAGGTTAGCAGTCAGTAAGCAGTAAGCTTCTCTTACTCCTCTTGCATACCTTCAGTTGCTCCTTCAGCATAATCACTTCATCTCTAAGGTCATCCCGCTCACTCCTTATGGAATCAAAGAAATCTTTCTGCCTCTCTAAGGCCTGAGTTCACAACACAGACAGAGAGGAAGGAGATGTGAAGAGAGGAAAGGAGAAAAGTAAAGATCATGAAAAGCAAGTGTAAACAAGAATGAGCAGATTTAAGATATTCAAAGATTCATGGAAGTGATATGTGAAAAAAGTAAAGTTCAAAGATTAAAGGACCAAGTTTTCAGACACACAGACAAGCTTCAAATCCAAGAAATGCACAGCTTATTCAGTAATAATCAGCTCCAGAAATTCCTATTAAAGACACTCGGAGCCCAAGCCTTCATTAGAAATCCTTCAAATGAGGATCTACTTTTCCCTCTTATCTGCTAGATGAGTTCATTCATATTACTTCAACCTGTATGTTGAAGACATAAAGTGATTACCATGTACTCAGACAAGAGGATGAAAGCAGGCCTGACATTTTAATGGTCTATTTTAGGGCTATTAATTGCACGGGTTACCACAATGGCTGCATTACATTTCAATTAACTTGAAAACTGCTATTAAGTCATCTTCAGATTTTGGGATGTACTGTGTTGCAAAGGTGTAATTTAGTATGGATCCCCCTTGATATTTCTTACATAAATGCACAAATAGAACAATAACAAACATCAGACACTTGAGTTTCAAACTGCAAGAAGTTATTGGACGTCAGCAGTATGATTTATTTCCCCTTCTATATTCAGAAATTCTTCCAGTATTCATTGCTAGAAAAGAAAGCAATGCTTCTCTTTAAGAGCGTGTTTCCATTGGGCTTTGATAAGGGGTGGTGGGAAGGCATGAGAAGCAAGGGAGAGTTTGGGACTTTCATCCCCACAGGCCACAAAGAGCTCTATTGCTTCTTGATCACACTCCAGTTTCTGCTCAGTCTGCAGATTGAATCCAAACAAGCAAAAAACAGCACTATAAATAGCATTTCCCTTCTCAATACAACACACAAATGAAGCACCATGGCAAATAAAAATGCCTAGGTTTCGAATTCAGAACAGCTGCTAAGTTTTTCTTGGATTTTATAGTGTTGAACAGAGACAAAATGTGCTACTTGCTAGTTCACTGGTAATATACTAAGCCAGCCACACCAAGCAGAGTCACTCAGGAGTATATTATTCATGAGGTTTTGCAAAAGCAGGATCAGCTGAAGAACGACAATGCCACTCTGAACACACTTCAGGAGTTGACAGTCCTACCCCTATTTTTTTGTCTTTCCACTCTATTGTCTCCTGAAGATCAGAAATTTCCCTGACATAGCTCTGCTGTTTCTGTTGCAGCTGTTGGATTTCCTGAGAGACAGGAGCAAAATGAGAAGACAGAAAGTAGGGAACAGGTTAACAAAGACAGTCGAGATTGCAGTGATGCCAAAGAACAAAAAAGTCAGGTGAAGTAAAAGGGTATCTGCATGCACAATATGATAACTTCTCACACGTCAGCTAAATCTATGCTTTCTAAGACAATCTTACTATTCACAAGCTGATTTATAAAGTTAGATGGTTCCACTGCTTTTCTCTACATCTCCACAAGCAGCTGTTGAGAAAACAGCTTATTTCACATCATGGACAATGCAACTTCAGATAATACTTAGGAAAATACTATTTCTGTAAGTTAGCTTGGCCTGGAACACTAATATTTCTTCAGGTGAGAAACTTGAGAAGGGAATAAAATTCCTTCCTTTCTACACACCTATTGCTAACTGGGCACACAGTGATCAAATAAACCAGTAAAAAGAATGAAATTACTTACTGCAAGCATTTCTTCTCTTTGCTTCAAAGCCTCTTTGATTTCCTTAAACTGAAACTGCAATATGCTATGAGCGTGCTTCTCTCTCTCAAATTCCTGTGAATGATGGAAAATTCATGAGATGTAATCGATCAAAAATAGCATCCCATGAAAAACTGGAGGAAATAAGCCCAGCAACCAAGAAAATGCTTAGTGCCACGCAATTCTTCAATGTGCTTCTAATCACAATCCCACAAGAGTACATTTTTATTATTGTCTTGTTTGTACTTTTCCCAAAGAACTATTATTACATCAAACATAGGAGTGACAGACATCATTTAGCCAGCTTCACAATCTGAGCAGCAAGATGCCAGTGAATAGCTGTTACACCCAACTCCTACTGACTTCACAGATGAATGGATGGGAATTTAACCCACTCTTCCTATGTAAGAACAGTGAAAAAAATTCACTAGACATTAAGGACTTAAAAAAAAACCAAACAAATGAAAAGCCAAACCCAAATCAAATCAAAACAAAAGACAACCAGTGAACCAACCAAAACTAAACAAACCAACCACCAAATCTTCCAGGAACTGTATGTTTTGCAGCACACTATAGTAAAATGCCCACAGGCTAAAGGACAGTTCTGAGAAGCTAACCCAAGCCACAGATTTATTATTTAACACCAGCTTACTAGCTCTCAGATGCTGAAATCATGCAAAACAATTCAATGCTCAACCACGTCGCTGCTTTAACTCTGTAAGCTGCACAACTCTCTTTGGAAGAGAGTTTCATGCGTTAAAATACTACAGAAATTACTATGAACAAAATCTTTAAATTTACTTCCAATATACAGTACAAAAGGATGGATGATACTATAGTAGTACTACAGTGTATCCTTCCCATATTAAATATTTTTTCGCTTTAGAAATTGCTTTCTGAAACACAAACTAAAGGAAAAATTCTACTTGTATGACTGCAAGCACACAGCATGCTGCTATATAAAAAATAACTTATTTAAAATCTGGAATAGTAATTTGGTTTGATCCTCTCAAAGATGTCAGCCCCCCAGAAGTCTTTCACACCAGTGCTATATACATACTTTACTCTTTTCTTCATATTGCCTCCTGGATTCTGCGAGCTGTTCCTCTAACTCTAAGAGTGCATCCTTCAGGGTATCTACTTGGTACATGAAATTTGTTTTCTCGTTGTCTAGTTGAGCATTTGACACCATAGCCTTTTTGTATTTCTCTTCGACTTCAGCTAGAGAGTCCTGCAAAGAATAAGCAACCACAGTGAGAGGTCGGTTACAAAAAAATCACTCTGCCAGCCAAGACCTTAAGTGAGAAAATGAAGGTATAAAACCACAAGCCTCCTGAGTAGTCCTGCTGAAACCAGTGCTAATCATCTGCAGGACAGACTTAGCAGCTGTCCCAAGGTGAGGATAACCTCCCCTGTGTTTGCACAAGGCTTCTGTTAACGAGGAAGAAACCTTACCTTGGGATGGATTAAAATGCTTCCTGTTCTCTGCTGCTTCAGCTCCTGCTTTCTCAGGGTTTTCTTCCTTCTCCCTCCTCCCCCTACCCCTGAATGCTGGCAGCTCAAAGCAGCTGATGAAGATATGACAAGTTGCAAATTCTTTTTCTTTAAAGGTAAACTAACCTTGATTTAAGATCATTTTAAGTCATCCAATCTCAGTGGGGTAGGCTTTAACGTAAGGCAGTTTAACAGCCACTTCAGGCAAATTTCAGTGTGAGGTAGGAGACACTAATATAACTAAATACACTAACTCAGGAATTAGAATTTGCTGTGAAAGCTGCAGCTTTTGTGATGCATCATTTTTGTTTCCTAAATTGCTTTCCATCTTAACAAGTTTACTCTGTAAGATACAAATCCCAGTGTCCTGAAAACCCATCTTAACAACTTGACCTGAATATAAGAGACTGAGATGTTTGTAACAGCAGACAATGGCAAAATAAAGATCAGGACCATTCTCCATGCTGTGCAATCAAACTTGCAGTACTTGATTTTAATACAGTGGTAAAAGTCTTACGTAGGCAAACAGTGAAAATATGCAAAGACACACATCATTTTAGTTTCCAGATGAAGCAGCTTTTCTAGGAACTTCAGCACTATTGGAATTACTCCTATAGCACGGGCAACTTCCATATACTTCCTATTCCATTCAATAAACAGAACTGGGGATGACAGAGTGAGATGATCACAACACTAATTCTGAACCAGTTTAGTTTATATGTCTATTGACAAATAAGAGCATTTGTCCTTGAGCCTGTATAGATTTATCTCCTGAAACACAAGTTGTGTTTTGGCACACTTTCCAGCCCAAAGGTAAGAAATATTAAGCATAGGAAAACAGTCAGAATTTGGAAACAGCAGAAAGATTAGTCTCAGAAATTAGCTGGAAAGGAAGTATATGTAAGTAAGTTAAGGGAGTTGCTGCAGCACTCCTTCAGCATGCTACATTTGGTTTTATTAGCATCAAGTTCCACCACAGTTGGGCACCTGGACACCTTTACACCAAAGCAAAGCCAGAATTAAACACTGCTATTGAGACCTGCTGTGACTTAGGTACAAATCACCAGAGATGCATGTTAGTCATTGCATCAAAACTCATTTCTAGCTTTGTGGAAGTTGTAAGTGCTTCCTTGGTGCCAGCTTCCAATTTTGGGAGGCTTCCTGGATTACAAAGCTATTTAAAAAACCCCCACAAATTAGTAACCTTCATTTGCAATCAAAATTATTACCTTTTCAGAACATCAAGTAAGACATGCAATAGCAATCAGCAGTCTTTCAGTTCGTATTTGGAAGCATTGCTCACCACAATCAACAGACACCAGAAGGGACACTTTTCCTGGTAATGCAATGCTTTCCACAGTTTACAACCCCTCCCAGAAGAAAAGTGTGCAAGGTCAGTGCTAGATCTCACCCTGGCTCTGTGAACTTTTAGCTGGTGTTAATTAGCACACTTCACACTGCAATACACCAGTACCTTCATTTCTTTCAGTCCCTGCATGTATTTGCCTTCTACATCTTGAATCTGCTCCTTTAACTCATAAATATCCTGAGAGAAATGGTGAGAAAGGTGAATGAAACAAATGGGTACAAAAGCATATGGAAGAGCAAGTATCCAGAGTTCTCATGTAAGTATTTCTACAACACAAGTTAAGCAGTCTGATCGTAATCTGAAAGCCTTGCTAGAGAGTGAAATGTCTGGGTTAGAAGTTTATCCTAATTCTTCTCTTCTTGACTGGAAAAATGATGACTTCAACAATAAGGCCATGACACAGCTCCAACTTCTAGGTCTCCAACAAGGACATGTCCCAGACAGAACCCTTCTCTACCCTTTTTTACTATTATCCTTTTTGGAGAATTCTGATAGCTTCTGTTGAAGCTGTTCAAGCAAGTCTGAAATACAGGCTGCACTAGCACTCCAAGAAAAGACTGTACAAAATCCATCCATCACATTAAATGCAACTGTAAGGCCTATGTCTCTCCTCTTTGTCTTGGTCACCACCAAATGATTGCATTCAGCTGTTCTTATGGTGCTGAAACTGGACTGAACTGCTTGTATCTGAGCTCTCCAATGGAAATTCCAGATATTTTAACTTGCTGTAATGACTGAAAGTTAACAGAACGCACATTTCCAATTTAAAAATAGATTTCAGAATGCAGCCTTAAAACAATCTTCAGAAAAAAACCCAGAGAGTTTAGTTATGGACTACCCATAAACTCAGATAAAAAAAAGCTATAGTTCGATACAGTTTATGTTGGCTTTAAGAACATCTCACCTTTATTTCTCTAATAGATGCCTCTGTGTCTGCTGAGATGGACGTATCCCCACTGCCTCTTCGTGAAGAAGTCCCACCCAAGGAAGCTAAGGTAGCTGCTGATAGACTTGAGACAGTACGTGCTCCCTGGAATCAAACAGTTAAATAGGGTTGTGAATATTTTTTTTCTAGATATTATTTTGAATACACATAATGTGGACTATTTATCTGTTGATAAAATAAATGACAAAACAGCAACTGTGTCTTTGGCACCTAACTGGTCTCTAATGCCACAAGAAACATTAGAAATGAGTGCTAAAACCAAACTCAGGGGAATAGGAGCTGTTGTTACTCAGTTCCTCAGCAAGGGCAGCTTTAACATCAGGCCAGGAAAGAAGAATCCATGCATTTCTACATCATGCAAGTTCCATTAACATCTCTCAGGAAGAAGAACTGAGACCAAGATTTAGCAAGAGGATGTAATGAGAAAAAGGAGACCAGTTATCTTTGTGCACAAGTTAACTTCAAAGTATTAACTCTCAATGAGACAAAATCCTTAGGGGCTAGTACCATCTTGCTAGACACTTTCAGAACTTGGATTATGTTGTAGATGCTTTTGAATACTCCTCAAACTCTTCTGCTTTCATTTGTATTTACCTACTCACAGCAGTAGCAACACTGTGTTAGAGCAGTGAGGCTAAGGCCAATTTCTCACTGCTGCAGTACGATCTTCATTTTATTTATTTTTATGCAATACCATCATTAAGCTCTATTAAACAAAACCAATATTCACATGGCTTAGCCTGAAGCAATTTCAGTGCTGTTAAATGTCAACTATTAACCCGTGAATGACCATGATGGTTTCAAGTCTGTCTTCAGGAAATGTAGGGTGGTGAGGCACTGGAACAGGTTGCCCAAGGAGATTGAGGATGCCACATCCCTGGAGGCATTCAAGGCCAGGCTGGATGTGGCTCTGGGCAGCCTGGTCTGCTGGTTGGTGACCCATTGTGGTCCTTTTCAACCCAGGCCATTCTATCATATGATTTCAGTAATTGAAAGCTCTGTTAATTCAAACTCACTACAAGTTCAGGTAAAAAAAATAGCTGTGCTATTATCAGAGCAGTTCACAAGATCCTTCTTACCTTCTCAAAATCTTTTTCTGGCCGCTCCTCAATCTGTAAAACAAAGGTTTAGAAGGAATCATTAGATTATGAAGTATAAGAGAAGGCAATACAACGTCAGAAGGGTAATTCTTAAACCTTTGAGATACTTTTCATTAGCAATTTCTCTAATGAACCTAAAACAGCAACTTACTTAAGTAGAGAGATCAAAACTGTTCAAATGAAAGGTGAACGCACTTCTAGATCAAGAGAGCTTCTTGAAGGTACAGTTTTATGGACTTCAAATAAATTGAAGCACCTCCAGCCCTCACTCTAAAAAGCAAGGCACCAACTTAGTTTTGAAGGACTGGATTGCATCTGCACCTGTCCCAAAAAGAAGAGGAAAAAAGTAAAAGAGAAACGTAAAGCTCAGAACCTCCAATAAGTTCAGTGTTCTCCTTCTGTGAGAAAAGGTGTCTGACTTCAAGCAAAAATCCACGTAAGGCTGAGACAACAAAAACTGACCCTGCAGCCACATATCTGGGACCAGCTCAAAGTCTAAACAAACAGCTGGTCTATGATTTCAGAACTTCCCTGGAATTTACTCGTTCAGATGATCTAACTTATGCTAAAAGCAGCCCAGAAGAAAAAAGACTGGAGCCAAAGCAACATTTAGGAGCAAGAAAATTACCAGGAACCAAGACCAGTTCAATGCTCAGAAGGCAGAGCAGAACCACATACAACCTGGGCAGATGCAAGAAGCCCAGATGTCAGCTTCTGGGAATGCTCAGTACAGCAATCGATATGGTTTCCTGAAAAGATACTTCTCAAAAACAAACAGCTTACCCAGATCAAGAGCCTATGAGAGCTAAAGAGAAGAACGATTTTGAAATGACTGAGAGAGCAATAGAGATCTGCTTCAGAGGAAGGCAGGGCATAGCTGAGGTTAAGCTAATACATTTCATTGGAGATAACTAACTCAAAACTTCCATCTCTTTCCAATCAGACAGCACTCATACTCTTTTCCTTGGAATTATACAGAGCAACGTGTGGATGACCCCACATGTTATGTTGCACTTTACCCACAGTACCACATTACTTCCATTTCTGGACAGCATAGGTTTCATTTGGCAGTTTTCCAGCCCAGCCAAACACTGCTTTGCTGTGTAACAAGAGAGTTGTGAAGGTATAAATACTGGCGTGTTACCACAGATTAATGCATACACACACACACAGTTTTTTATATCCACAAATTTATATACTGCCTTTCGCAAAGCCCGCCTTATGGCTTCAGGGCACAAATGAAAACATTGCTTTCCTTCCATGATTCACAGAATAAGGACGAAAAGATGTTTTTAATAAGATAAAAACATCAAGATTTACTCTTTTCTTTAAGTGAAGCATCACACGAGTCAAATAAAAGCCTCCATTTACAAAGTGGAAGACATTAAAGCTAAGTGTTGAAAGATATGCATGCAGTGCATGTTTCTACTCAGCTCTCATTCCCATACTGTGATGTTTGCCGCAGATTCCTTGCAAAATAATCTTCAATAATTGAGATTTATGATAGGATGTAATCATTCAGAGCTATTAAGTAACTTTTAAAATGTGTGTGGTTTCAAGAGATTTCATTTTGCACAGCGATGCTCTGCAACACACGTCTATCTGGTGCCACGAATGAAACAGCCACAGCATCTTCTCCTTAAAGTAAGAATCACTGCTGATTATTTCACCTGTTTTGAGCAAAGCCATTTCCCTTAGCCCAATATAACTTCATTACAAAGATGTAATGTTATGTTTATAAGGCAGCGATACCACAAAATCTGTAACGAGTGTCTTGTGAATGACAGAAGCCTGTTTGATATGAATGTGTCCCACAGTCCTCATTCAGCTTGCTGACTGAGTGCTTTCCAAACACAGGCAGCCAGCAGGGGGAACCCCAGCTGTTCAGCCAGTCTCCAAGGAGCCCTTGGGCATCTGATCCAGTAAGAAATCAAAGGACGTTCAGGAAAATCTCTTTATTTGAAGTCACGCAAAACTCTTGTCTGAAAAACTTACCTTCCATATCTACAAGTATCGTAAGCAGCTAGACTGAAAACAAATGCTCCAGTTTCACTGAGCTACACCCAGCATACTTGTTAAGAGAGAGACTAAGAGGAATTCACTTAATGATACATGACCTTGAATTTATGGAACACTGTCATCTTTCGTTTCTACAAAGGCACAGGTATGTCTCTCACCAGATTATCTCCTTCACTGTCAACAGGTTGGGCAATTCGTGTCTTAGTGTACAAAACAAGTTGGTAAAGGAGGCAATCTTCTGAGGAACCCCAGCACACACATCTTTGCTTTGGCAAGAGCAACTGGCTGCTCTTTGTAAAAAGAAGTGTTTTGGGATCAGAGTTCAGCCTCTTCTGAAAGCTAAATCAGAATAAATCCTGAGCCACGTTACAAAAATGTCAGCAATATCAGAAGCTTAACACAGCTGGAGACTTCACAAGAGCAAAATCATCCTGCAAGCCTATATATGGATATAGTGCCTATTTTTCACAGCCACTAAAATCATTTTAGCACAGTGTCTGAAAAAGTATTCCTCTCCACAGCACAGAGGACTGGCAGGCTAACCCTTGAAGCAGTTCTGTCAGTGACTGCCCAGGACTGAGCAGGACTGAGCACTGCAGTTGTCTGACACAAGTGCTCCAGCACCTCCTGTGCGGCCCTGAGGCCTGGTGGCAGTTCTGCGTTACATCCCAGCTGCACACAGGAGAGGAAAGCAAAAGTTACCCATATCTTTAAGTCAATGGGCATCCCCCACCTCTCTGGGCAACCTGTGCCAGTACCCCATAGTCCATATTGTAAAAAGCTTCTTCCTTATGGCCAGTCTAAATCTCCCCTCTTCTGGTTTGAAACCATTTCCCCTTGTCCTATCACAGCAGACCCCGCTAAAGAGTCCATGCTCTTCCTTCTCATACCTCTCTTTGCATACTGAAAGGGCACTATCAGGTCTTCCTGGATCTTGCACTTAGATCACTTCCTCCTAAAAGCAAGGCCTTGGCTGTGACAGATCTAGTTAAGATCGTTTCCTGCTCTTGAAGCAGTGCAGCAGGGCCTGAAAGGAAAAGAGTGGTTGGCACTGAAGAGCCAGCAGAGCAACCCATCCAGCCACAACCGTACACCTCTGCCTGCCTGGCAGGGGCTCCGGTGGCTCAGGGATCCTGAGTGTCTGTCTGATAGGAAGAGCCACCTTAACTCCAGCAGTCAGCACTGAAAAACACTGCTGAACTTTGTCAGGTCTCAAGTGGATCTGTCACAACTATCCTTACTCAGGAATGCATGTTATGCCAAAGCTCGTTGTTTAAACAAACTTATCAGTGTCGGAAACACCAGTGAGCTTTGGAGAGGTCTAAGCAGATGCACGGCCTGCCAGCGCCCAACGTAAATCTTTTGGAGCAAGGAAAAGGTAAAGCTTCAGCACACAGATAACTGCTTCCATGCAAAATAAATCTGTTGCTGTTTTCATTTCATTGCTGGCAAGAATGTGATAAGCTTCTTCAAACGACAAACGCCGTTCACAGCCATGTTTTAATTCACATCCCAAGGCCTGCCCTTGCTGAGTGGCACTACATCTCCAGCCACAAGCTGGCAAAACTACTGTAGCTTTTGGCATGCTGCTTAATGAACAGTGATAGGGGGAGAAACAGAATTCTCAGAGAGGATTTAAGTGACAGCATATCTTAAAGTTACATTCAGAAGTTTTCCCTTCTCAATATCCAATTCCTCACGAGAGTCAATCAAGCTAGTGAATGGTTCAATTCCATTCATCTGCCACACAAACATAAGAAAAATCGTATTTACCTTCAGTGTTAGGCACTGATTTTTATCACAGCACACAGATATTGAACTATCAAACCGGTAGGTGACAAAAGCTTACTGGAAACTCATCCTGTTCAGCCCTGAGTGCTTCCTGTCTCCTTGCACACCAAATTCGGCGTGGCATCTCTCCAATTTCTGGGCTGACACAACAAACCACCTCCACCCACTTGCATGCAAACAGTCCAAACTCTGAGCAGAGAATTAAAATAAGAAAAATCCCCTACAAGTCCCGGGAGGGACAAACTGTGTTTTGTTATTACTAAGAGCAACTTGCACTAACAACTCAGAATGTGTGCAAAAAAAACCCACATAATGGAAGCTAATGTCAGCAGAGGGGTAACTAATTCCTTAAGGGCCATAATGGCAGCCCTAGCTACACTAATTATTTTTTTGCCTTGTGGAAAATTAAAATTCAGTTTTAAGGCCTTTATTCACACACTTGATTCAGACAGAGTTTGCTCGATGACCCGAAGCCTTACCCACTCCCTGCTGAAGGTAAGCAGCATAAACATGTGGGCAGAGCTCAGGCACCCATCCCTGCTATGCTGCAGGCATTCTGTGCAGTTCCAGCTGTGGAACAAAGTGCCAAAAGTGCACTTCCAAACTGCAGGCTGTGTCTGGGGGGAACTGTGTGATGGAAGACACCAGATATGATGCCATTCATCACTACAGGCAGTCTGTGCTAGTGAAGAACACCACTCCAAATTTCCATGGTACAGCCTGCCTCGCTTCTTGCTGTGCTAGCTTGAGTATCCAGATATTTAAAAGCCACCAAGATAACAGATGTTATGACTAGAGAGGCATGTTATGTGTGTAAATTCATATCACCATCCTGATCACTCTGCATCCTGAGGATGTGGCAGGCAATCTGTAACAGGTCCTGCATCACCACATTACTGCTTCACTAAGAGGAGCACCAAAATGCAGCAGCACACTTCCAAATACTCAGTGTGAAAATACTAACTGGTTACAGATGAGTTTACTGTAAGCTGCACATTTCCTGTAAAAGGAAAGCTGTCACCACAATATCAGGCCTTGCTCTGAAACTAAGAACAAAGTATTCAGAGGTGGGAACACCTAGATGAAACAAGAGAAAACAGTGACGTGCCACTGAAAATAGGAGACAGCAACTTTCTATCAGTAAGAAGCAGGGGAAAAAGCAGATGTCTTGGCCAACTACAGTCACAGGAGTTTTGCACAACCTTTAGTGTTTATGCCTTGCCCAGCCATCACCACTCAGGAGTTCATGATGCTGTCCAAGCTAAGTACACACATTACCTCTAGCACTTCATGATGCTAGAGACTCTACCGTGTCTGGTAGTCTACAAGTATGTTTAATTTCCAATTTCAATAGCTCTGCAGCAACACCACTATACTGCTCATGGAAAGAAACTGGAACGCTGCTATAAGTTCTAGGGTTTCCTGATTGTAACAGTCATAGGAGATGCAGCACTATCCTTCAACAGTGCAATCTTTTCCTCAATATCCTTGCCAATATGCTTAAACTTCTATGCAATTTAGTGCCTTTACAATAGAAGTACCCTCTGTGTTCCTGTAAGAACGCTAATTCTATTTTCCCTTTGCTTTTGTAACTTTTCATCTGGTTCATCCCTTCTTTGTCTCTAGTATCACCTAGATGGCCCAATTAATAGAATCAAAAACTGCCTCACGAGGGACAGCGACCTCTTTGTGCAGAGAAGAGCGTGAAGGACAGAGAAATAGAACAGGAAAATAGAGGAGCTCACCACTGGACTGGCCCGAGCAGAGCTGGCTCTTGAGGACGCCCGAGATCCTGAACCGAGGTAACAGCTGTACTCTGAAGGCTGCCATGAGCAATCCAGGAGCAGCAAGCAGAGAGGAGAGAAAAGAATTAGGACTGGGAAAGGAAGCAGGAGAGAAAGAAAAGCATTGCATAGTTACAGAAACGGTTACATGCAGCTGGACAAAGGAAGAGCAGTTAAAGTCAGAGAACAGACACTTCAGGTGTTAATTTGAAAAAAAAATGAGGCAAACAGTAATTCTAGTTGAAGTTTATCAAGGAAAGAGTTTTGATTCAATTCAGAGTATGGCAGAACAAGAACAGTAACTTGTATTTAAATACCTTAGGATGCCATTCACAATCAAAAAGCCCTCAATTTCTACACAGAAGGCTCAGTCCTACTTGTCTTTGAAAGCTCTGAGGCTCTCCAGAAAGCCTTCTTGTTCTTCCAACATTGCACACATATAAAACGAATCCATGTTCCACAGGCCAAAGCATTAACCAGCCAGATCTACCGTGATTCAAGCAGAAATCAAGACCATCTCAGAGACTGAAGAACCTTCAGTCTGCAGTGAGAGCTACAGATTTTCCAGCACCTGCAGCCCTCACCTCCTGCCAAAGGAAGTATTTTAGCCCTTCATAAAAGCAAATACCAAAGCAGTGATGCAGAGCAGCCAGAGCTGGCTTGCTGCTGACACAGGCCAAGAATGCAGGTATCCTGCTTTCTTTTCAGAGCTTATAATGCAGTGGGTGTACAGAATGGAAATGAAAGTTTGAAGCAGCAGGGAAACAGACCTAGAACTTACACTGTATATTAATTTTAGAACTATTCCCAGTGTATTTCAATTTCCAAACAGCAGCTTTGTACTCAGTCTTGTATTAAAACAGGTTTTATAGAACATAAGCATATGTGAGAGAGTGAGACACATCCAGAACAGACACAAGTGAACCAAATCCCTGGGTATCTGCTAGACATATTGTTTCTCCTATTACCACCCCCTTAGGCACTGTAACCTTTCCAAAGGGTCACGTCAGTGCATCAGATCTCCTACACAAAGCCTGGCACTGAGCAGAGGAAGCAGGCAGCTCAGGGCAGCAACAAGCTCGAGTTCAGTCCCCAGTACCTTGATGAGATATGTGACCTCTGAGAGTTGCTTTCACAGTCCTCTGTTCTGGGATATGAAATCTAAAGAACTATCGTACTTTCGATATGCATCTACTTTTATTTTATTTGGAGGTTTTTCTCCATTAGTTTACCTGGACACTACAGGAGTCCCCTAAAACTACTACTGAGACACCCAGGCCTTCACTACTGGAGGTCTGTTTTGTTGTCTTCTATCATGCACAGTATAAGTGAAACTTACAGTACTAACAAATTATATCAGAGTAAGTTGGAAATAACCCTGACTACAATCCAACACAGGCACAGTTACTGACCACAAAGCCACCCACACTGCATTACCCTCTGACAGCAGAGCAGTGCTATGGGCTTCAGTGATGCTGAAATGCCTACTGGAAACACCACAGCTGTGACAAAGCCATGCCATGTGAGGCTGAAGTTGCATGCTTCAGCTCTCACTCTTGTACAGAGCACTGTGCAATACAAACAAACCAGGCTGGATGTGACTCTGGGCAGCCTGGTCTGCTGGTTGGTGACCCTGCACATAGCAGGGGGTTGAAACTAGATAAGCACTGTGGTCCTTTTGAACCCAGGCCATTCTATGATTCTATGAAACCAGAAGGGTGATGATGCACAGGATCTGTGGCATGGTGCTGAATGGGGACAGATGAAGGGGAACAAGCACCGGAGTTGATTTCATCTTCAGCCCATGAGCAGTGGGGCTTGAAAACAGTTCTCAGGCCCACAGTCCACTGGGAATTATTTCTCCCCAAATCAGAACTGTGTCATCTGGAGCTCTGAGACGTTTACCCACAAAGGAAGACCTGGCATACAAAGGATGCAACCAGCTTAGTGCAGTGCAAACAACAAATCCACTGAAATGCAGGCAGACCATTCCACAAGACAGCCAAATGCAAACAAGGCATAATTGGGAAACAAAAAGTAATTTGAAGCTTAAGATCAGTGGCAGTAAGATGCACAGTGCTCCTAATGAGGCAGCGTTATGCAACAGGAGGGCACTTTAATGGCTAACAAGGGCTCAGTGGGCATTCTTGAAAGTTTGTTTCCTCCTTCAAGCCAACCACATTGCAAGTTTTGAAACATTAAATTAACAGCTATGCTTGCGCACGTCACGCTCTGCACGCTAACAGAGTAATGCTGGGGAAACAAGATTCCTTTTTAATCTATATTAATCTCAGTTTGCAGAAGAAAAATGAGGTCTCAGTGAGCGAAGGGACTTTCTGCACTGCCTCAGCAAAGTACCTGAGCTGAAGCTAAGCACAGGGGCAGAGCTGAGCTCTCCTTGCTGCAGCAGTGACACCGCCTGCTGCTGGGCTCTGCTACCTGCAGCACACCAAGGCGATGCATTCATACTCCAGCTAGGTCAGAATTTAGGATTTGGTGCAAGCTCACGGAATCAGAGCTTGCACTTTGCTACAGCAGCAGGCTATGAGTCTGTCACAGTCCATCCTAAATACTCCTCAGCTTCAAAAAGCCTGCGTTCTGGTAAAGGCAGTTACTGAAGGAGAGAGACATAACAAGGGGGAAATGCAGAAAACATCTTACAGCACGAGAACTAGAGGCACTATACCGACGACTCCCGCTGTAAACACTCTCGTCATACACAGATGCCTACAAGTAAAAGACAGAGTCAGAACAATCCTGGCAGACCTAAGTTTCTGCTTTCATTCTCTAGCATTGCAGATTCACACGCTGCAAGGACACAGGGGAATGAAGAACATCTCCTGCAAACTATCACAAGCAGCATGCAAGTGAAAAATTAACACAACCTGAAGTCAGCAGGCTGGGAAACCACACAACATATGTGCAAAACCTGAATGACTCCCCCATATCCATCACATATAGCCATGCATTTCTAGCAGTTCTTCCATCACCAATTCAATTGTTAATGTTACCCGTGACCAAAATGGCTACATCAATTCTTAAATTTCTTATGTCTGTTTGATTTTCATTTCTGGTGCTTGCAAAACAGTGGGAAAACCTTATGCCACATGAAACCCAATGATGTTTTCCAAACTAATAAAAAAGGAGGAAGATGCAGATTGGGTTCCAGTTCTCCCTGTCAGTGTCCAGTTGAGGAAGCAGAAGCAATTCTGCCTTTAAGTGTTGAGAACTAAAATGAGCATCACTCAGAGTTTAGGTTTCAACAAGAACCACGGAATTTGGCTAGCAAGGAAGAATTGATGTTGCCTCTCTCCAGTCTGCTTCTGTTCATCCCAAGGGTACACCAAAACAAAGATGCCTGCATCCCAAGGGAAACCCACAGAAGCTCCACAACTCCACGAGCAGCAGCTGTATAATTCCAATGGGTGCAAGAGGAAGGATCAGCAAGTCTGATGTGCAAACAGCATCACACACGTGCGTCCAGATGGATCAGACAGGTGAAACCAGAATGTGAAAGAAATGGAGCCAATGAGAACTAAAGAGGTAAAAGACAGTATGTGCATGGCTGGAAGTGAGTGGCTTCAGTATTTGTGCTTTGAGTGTTAGTACAACAAACCCTGTAACTTCTGGCTGGCAGGGCATCGCTGTACAGCAAGGAGGGCTGAGGAAGACAAGCATAACACTTTTGGGCATAGAAAATGAAACCAACAACAACAAAAAAAAGGATGCTTATAGCAGAATTGGTAAAAGGTTAGGATTATTACACTGCAACAGAAGGAAACCCAGTATAAAGAATGTTAGTTGTCTGATACATAAAAGCATTAGATCTCATCTCTCAAGACAGAATACCAAGCAGACATGCATTTCCTACAGGAAGGGAGGACACCAAAGTATAGAGAAGCACAAGAGCATAATTTAATTTTAGGTTATTGTTATCATCTCTCAACACATTTGTGTGCAGCAGCCAGAAAGGGTGTTTCTCCTCACTTCAACCAAAACCAGAAACAGAGCTACGTGCAAAGACAAGTATTTTAAGCTATGCATGGTAAGTGTTCCACCTCTTGTGTGTTAGTTACCATTTAGCACCGAGAAAGCCCAGTTATTCAGGATGATGTTATGACTACTTGAGTCAGAGCACTGTTAGTAATCACCTGCACACCTCAGGGCAGCAGACATGTACTGCTGTGATGCTCCAGCAGCAGTTCCAGCTCACAGGCCCTGTGCCACCCCCCAGCTGTCAGGAGCACAGTGACACTGCCTTGTCCTGCTCAGAACACTGCTTGAGCACCAGCATGCTGCTGCCCAGCTCCATCCGCATGCAGAGGACAATGCAACCTCTCAGGGTACTGGAAAGCTTTGGAATTTTGCTTCTAGCATCACTTCAGGCAAACAGAATTGCCTGAAGAACTTGAGTCAATTAACATTTCCCTTACTTTTGCAGAGCAGTTTAGGCCAAAAAGCAAGAAAAGTAACCGTTGGAAAGGGAGGAGCACCAAAGCAAAACTATTTCTGCCCACGTGAAAATGGCTTGCCATTACTCTTTCCAATCTTAAAACAAACATATTTTTTTAGTTTGGGATTTTTCTTTTTGGTTGTGGCAGTTTCACTAAGAGCTACAACAACTCCTGCCAATTGGTGCAGATTAATTTCTTATACAAGAGGTCACATTATCCAAATGAAGTCAGAATGAGAAGCACAGGCCAGACAAAACCAGCAGACAACAGACCCAGTTTCCATTTTGGGAAGAAGGTTGAGACGTGGAAGCATAGCCACTGTTGTGAAGACCCAGATCAGGGTAATATGAAGCCTGCATTAATTGCAAAAAGCCCTTGAGAACTCAATAACATGACTTTAAACTCCTTCAAGTGGGAAATAAAACGTAAATTAGGAAGAACACTGGAACTTAAGAACACTGAAAAGTCCATGTGATCACAGACACAAAAAGGTAACTGCGTTAAGGAAACTGCATTCAAGGTAAGAGGACATGTGAAAATGGTTTGTCCTTTCTATGTGTGAGGTAAATACTTAAATGAAAGGTC